ACAATCTGAAGAATCTTTTCTCTTTTTTTAATTTAATTTAATTTATAAGTAAAAAGAAGTTAACCCAGAAATATTCTTGGCCTATAGAGCAGTAGAAACCATTCACATGCTGTTAAACCACAAAATATTGTTATGCTTCAGTAGCAATAACTACAAAGGAAAGACTATGCCACGCTAAAAGATGTTGCAGTAATGCTAAACATTATTATGAGTTTCCAGAAAAACATAAGCAGCAAACATTAAAAAACAGATTGTTCTTTTGTGCATACAATATCTAGCATTATATAGATAAGATTCAACAAAGATCTTGTGTCACAACAACCCCATGCAACCTTCAAGGCAGAGTGGCTGGAAAGCTGCTGAGTGGAAAAGTACCTGGGGATGCTGGTTGACAGCAGCGAGTCCAGGTGGCCAAGAAGGCCAGTGGCATCCTGTATCCTGTTGATACAGTGGCCTGTATCAACAATAGTGTGGCCAGCAGGGCCACAGCAGTGATTGTCCCCCTGTTCTTGGCACTGGTGAGGCTGCACCTGAAATCCCGTGTCCAGTTCTGAGCCCCTCGCTCCACGAAAGACATGGAGGTGCTGGAGCGTGTCCAGAGAAGGGCAACACAGCTGGGAAAGGATGTGGAGTACAAGTCTGATGGGGAGTATTTGAGGGAGCTGGGAGTGTTTAGTCTGGAGAAAAGGAGGCTCAGAGGGGACCTTCTCACTCTCTACAGTCACTTCAAAGGAGGCTATAACTAGGTGGGGGTTGACCTCTTCTTCCAAGTAACAAGCAATAGGAGAGGAAATGGCCTTATGTTGCGTCAGGAGTGGTTAAGACTGGGTATTAGGCAAAATGTCTTCATGGAAAGGGTTGTCAAGCACTGGAACAGGCTGCACAGGGAAGTGTTGACTACAGTGCTTAGGGACTTGTCAGTGCTAGGTTAGAAGCTGAACCCAATGAACTTTAAGGTTCTTTTCCAACCTCAGTGATTCTGTGATTATATTTTGTCATCCTTAGAGATTGACACAGAACCACTAAGTTGTAATTCTCACAAAAACCGGCCTAATGGCACTTTTATCTCCTTTCTGCATTCTCCCAGAGCACTACCCTTAATTTTCAGGTTTCCTCTTACAGGATTCTTACAATCTCCACTTTTAGACAAGGTTCCAGCCTACAGTATGACATGTCAATTGGTTTACCTGGCAAATCCTACTAAATCCAAACTGTTTCTCTTCTTCCCGTCAGTGATTTCATAGGCTGCTTAAGAAAAGAGTAGTTTTCAGTTTAAACTGGAAATAAAATATTTAGAAACACTATTCTTCCTCTATGTTTGTATTATGTCAGGATTTATCAACTCCTGCCAGTAAATTAGTTAGGCCCTTTCAGAATCTTCAGGCACATTTTATGCCCATCTAATTTTCACAAGTAGAAATCCCTCTTGCAAAGGTTCTTTTTAAAATGTCATTCTTCTCTTATTGCTTATGTCTTAAGGATTTTTTTGCATAGATTTAATTGTCTCTCAGTGACTTCTGCACTGTTGTTGATGGATGGCTTATACTGAGCTATTTCTTTTCCTTTCTATAAGGAAATTAAGTTGGTATGTTCATAAACATTCAAACTGACACAGAGAATGCAATCAATAAATTATCACAGAGTTGCTATGAGTCTATCACATAAATATCACTATATCAATGTGGTTTCTATGCTAAAGAAATCAGTGTTTCTTATGAGAGCAACACTGAGCTTACTGCAACAAGATGTTCAATCATATCTGTCATCTGAGATTGCAAAATAAGGTGTGAATATGTCCTGTAAATATAAACTGTATTTAAAGTTAAATACACAAATGCATTTAGTTTTTACCTGCCATTATGTCTCATACTACAAAACCAACAAACATCTTGAAGAATTAAAGTGACAAATACCTAGGAAGAACAATCAGTAGGTATATAATCGTTTATCACTTAGATTACACCTACATTATGCTACTCTTTTAACACCACCCACCACTTTCATTCTGCTCTAAAAATATGCCACATTAAATTGTGTATTATTGCTTTAGTATTAGAAACGTACCAAAATGTCACCACCCTAAGTATAGAATCCAGCATTTTGACTTGCTAAATTTCATCCTATTAATCATTGCCCAATGCTCCAATCTGTCTAGATCCACCTGCAAGGCATCTTCCTAGCTAACGCCCAGTCCCCCTTGTTTTTATAAACGTATCAGTGTTGTACCTTGCCTTGTTTGACATTTCTTCACATTCTGTTATGTTCCTTACCTGCCCTCATCTACTTTCTCCTTTTTTCTGCAGAAATGCACTTATAGGACTCCCTGAAACAACATCTCAACCTTGGCCATATTGATCATCATAACTGGTCTACTCTGGCCTCCAATCGGGAGGCCTGGAGACACACCATCTATAACGCAGCTGATGCTTTTGAGAAAGCACACAGGATCACTCTCGAGGAGAAAAGAATCATGTCTTGCAGAATATACCACCTAAGGAGTCTTTCTGCTGTGCCTTTTGCAACCAGACATGTCTATCTCATATTGGCCTTTTTAGCCACCAGCGCGCTTGTAACAAACGTGGGTAGAGCCCTTCCCAAATCTTCGTTCGCGAAGCCTAGCCATGATGATGATATTTTAATCTATAAACTGTTTTGAAAATAATCTGGGTTTGTTTCTGGTTTTGGGTTTTTTTGCGGGCTTTTGTAAGGCATTTGTAAAGAATGTTCTTTAAAGTCACAAATAAAAGTTTTGAGTCTCATAAGGCAAGGTCTAGTCAAGAGATGATGTGGATGAGCTAAAGCAAATAGGAAAGGTCATCAATTTGATATCAGATTTTTCTAATATAGTGAATGAGATATTTGAATGTACATCAGAGAGTTAGAAGCACAATTCTGGCTAGTGGCAGTGGAATTGTCCTTCTAAAAAGCTTTGAAATATAGATAGGTAACTTAAAAATTATTTTTCTGTACTTTTTAAGTTGCCCCCCTCCCAGTTCTATTTGTACATGACAGATGGAAGTTAAACTTCTAAATAACTGATTACCACTGAGAGGATGAGACACGAAGGAAATTAAAATATATGCACAGGAAATGTGGATGAAAAGTGCACTTCAGTTGCAGCGGATGAACAAATGGAAATTTGCAAGGAGTTACATAAAATTATTTCTAGTACACAATACTTTAAATCATCCTAAAGTTATGTATTTAAAATAAATCATCCCAAATTTCACTATTTAAAAAAATTCTCAAACCTATTTCAATTAGAAGAAATTATATTTGAAACACTAATTCTATTACAGTAAGAAAATAATAAAGAAAAGTGTCATGAAGTATTACAGAGTGTAATAAAGAAAATTTTTTCAGGGCTCTGAGTGCAACAACAGGTCCCACAACTTTCTCCACTCTTCCCTAGGTGCCTGGCTGCCTGTCCTCCAGGCCACCTCTGACATGGTGCAGCCATAACTGGGGCTCAAGGCTGCTACAGGGCTGTGAGATGCTGTTTTGGGAGCCAATGGCCTCAGCTCAGGAGCAGCATTTTGGCTTTGGGTGAAGAATCTTTTTCTCATATCCAACCTAAACCTGCCCTGACACAACTTCAGACCATTCCCTCAGGTTCTGTCACTCGTCAGAGAAGAGATCAGCATTCCTGGGATACTCCTGAAACGACACACAGCCATGAAAGAAGTGTAAATCAAAAATAAAGATATTTTAGTAATCTTTTAGAAAGGCTACAAGGGAAAATTGTCTGTTATTTGCCAGAGTGAGTAAGCAAGTTTTATCAGAAGTTCCTGTGTCACCTGCTCTACATGACCTTGCCTTGGCAGAGTGGTTGGACTAGGTCATCTCCAGAGGTCCCTTCCAACCAATTCTGTAATCCTGTGACTTTCTTGAAACTCTGCATATAATTTTATTTTAGTCTCTCATTTAAAAAAGGTATTTTTCATATTTCATAGCTTGAAACAGCATTTCTGCTGACATGAAAATCATCTGCCTCAGCATTGTATGTAGGAATGAAATAAAATAGATTATTCCTTGGACCTGATATTAAAAATGCCGCTCACTTGGCTAATTTCAGTAAACATACTAAGTAAAACAAAGTCAAAGCCTGAAATTTAGTGTACAGAAGCAGACTAGCAGCTCCCGAAAATGCTCTGTGCAATTTCAGAACAATAAGTACAAAGTGAATAGAACCATCCTGGTAGAAAAACTCACTAAACCTAAAAACCCGAAATTATTCCTATAAAAAGCTGAAGTAGCTGTGATTCCTAAAAGCATTTTGTTGTTGAATAAGACAGACTGAAGGCCACAAGAATGTAAAGAGAAATGTCATCAGGTCGAGGTCGTTTGCAAAAAAACCTGAAAATCATTTGAAGCCCTTTTACAAAAGCATAGTTAGTCATTCAGGAAGGAAAGAATAATGTTCAGCCTTTTCAATATCTAGTAATAACAGTGTTTTAAGAGGAAGGAGAGGGGGAAAAAAAAAAGGAAGAGGAGAAAAAACTCAAACCATCTTGCCTACCGATTTCTTAAATTATGTTGAAGTACATGTTCTTTACCCCTGGTGCTCTTTCCAGCTCCAGCTTCCTTCAGATCGATGGGCGGCTACTGGAGGGACGCGGGGCCCTGCAAAAGACACCGGGAGCGGTGCCGGCCGTGACACCGGGATACCCTGGGCGCCCCCCTCCACTCCCGGCCGGAGCTGGTGCCCGCCCTGTCCCTGCCCTGTCCCGGCCGCCTTCCCGCCTCGCTCGCCGCCCTCCGCGTTACCGCGGCGACGGCAGCGGGGAGCGGCGGGACGGGCGGCAGCTGCGGCGGGACGGGACGGGACGGGACGGGACGGGACGGGACGGGACGGGACGGGACTGGGCAGGCCGGGGCGGGTGGCCGGGCTGCGGGGCTCGTACCGAGGCCATAGAGACAGCGGGTGCGGAAGGAGCGGAGGGGGAACGCGGCAGGTAACGGGAGGGGAGGGGGAGGCCTCGGGGGCGCGGGGCATGCCGTCGGTGTCCCGGTCTCGTCAGGTGCCGAGAACCCAGGGGGTGCTGTCGGTGCCCCGGTTTCCTCAGGTGCCCGTACAGCCGTGGCTGCCCCTGTGCCTGTGTCGCCTCAGGTGTCGGTCTCCTATGGTGTCACGGGTGCTGATTCTTTGGCAGTGTCACCTCAGGTGCCGGTCCTTGTGGAGCCAGTGCTCCTGTGCCTGTGTCACCTCAGGTGCCCGGTCCCTCTTGGAGCCAGGCAGTGCCCCTGTGGCAGTGTCACCTCAGGTATGGGTCCCCTGTGGGGCCAGTGCCCATGTGCCTGTTTCAGCTCAGGCGTCGGTCTCCAACAGAGTCAGAAGTGCTGGTCCTGTGGCAGTGTCACCTCAGGTGCGGGTCCCCTGTGCAGCCCGTGCCCTGGTGGCAGTGTCACCTCAGGTGCCTGGTCCTTGTGGAGCCAGTGCTCCTGTGCCTGTGTCACCTCAGGTGCCTGGTCCTTGTGGAGCCAAGGCTGCAGTGCCCTGTGACAGTATCCACACCTCCGTGTGTACTCTTGAGAGCCCCCACTGCTCTCTCCCATAAGGAATTAGGGATGTTTCATGCTACCCCATCACCTATAGTGTGGCTGGCTCCTGTTCTTGGATGCAGGCAGGCTTGCCCCCACATCCTCATGTCCTGCTGGACCCACAGAACTGGACTGGTCCCAGTAACAGCCTTGTTCTGATCTGTCTGCTGAGATACTTGATGACTGTTTGTTTTAGACCTCACCTGCCAAGCAAGGGAGTGAATAATCAATAGGAGTCCAAAACTGTGTTTGAGAGCAATTATATCCGGGATGTAGGTTAATTTTGGTGCTCAAAGGAACAGAAATGTTTGATGCATGCAGCCATGGATCTATGGCAAATTTAGGTTTATGTGTTTCAGAGTGTCCCTCATGGAAAGCCAGGGCTACGCTCAGGCTAGCACCACCTCTAGTATGTCAGTGCTGCCCCAAATGCGAGAGCTGCTGTCACAGATCTGAGCTTATTCCAGAAGTTTTCGTCTTCCCCATTCCAGCCTGTAACTAGAGCTGCATTCCACTGTCCTTGTTGTTTGCAATCGGAAAATTACAGAGATTTAAAGGAAAGCGTAGTACTATCCAGTATGTACTACTTGGCTGTGTAAATGTATGCATTTAAGAATCTGAATTACTTGATTTTTGGTGTTTTAACAGGTTAAAACGACAATCAGTATTATGGAGGAGGCCTTAGAATTGTTCCAGGAACAAGCTGTCACTAAGTAAGTAATGACTTAGTGTCTTGGGACTTGAGAATATGATGGAATTGAATTATGCAGGTTTATTAAAAATGCGGAACAAAATATTAATGATTTTAGAAGCAAACTTGATGCTCAATTTCTTTTTATTTCCATGCAAACTGGAGAGGTTACTGATAATTAAGACAACACATCTTACTGCTTTAGCTAATACTCTACTCACTGTTGCTGTTAGTTACTTAATTTTTAAAATATCCATACCTGAACAAAAGGGAGGGAAATGAAAGCTATGTAGGGTTTTATTAAGATGTTAAGAAATGTTATTTCAAACTGTTTTAAAAACAGTTGAAGTTGCTACGCTGAAGCAGTATCAACTTACATGTCACAGCTCTTAAAACATTAAAAATCTTATATCCAAGACTATTCATTGCTAAAGCCCTAGTCTTATTTTCCACAGATAATAACCACAATTGTTCTCCCCCAGTATGAAGTGCACTTTCCATCACAATACATCTATTTTTTTTTACATAATCCAAGATTAGTTCTTTTAATGTTAGTCTAAAAAAATATGTTAGTACAGCATAAAGTCTTTCTAAAGAAGTGAAAACACGAGTCAGATTGAATATAGGACCATCCAGCCTCTTCAAGGAAAACAGAAATATAGGAAGTACTTCTTCATATAATAAGTTAAACAGAATATTTATCTATCATAATTTAAAAATAAACTTGTTACCTATTTTTTAAATTAACTAGTTTATTCTGTCATTAGTACCAAGAAACAGTCCAAGGTAATGTGATATATATTAAGTGTAAAAGTATTTCTTAAAATAATAGAAACAGGCATAATCTCTCACACCTTATTCTGGCCCAAGAAAGATTTTAATAGGATTTGAAAGTGACCTTGTTGTACTAAAGAATAGTGGATGCACTTTTCATGATAGATAAAAATTACTGTAGTAAAATACTATATTCTGAGTGGTGTGGCCCTTTTGCTTTGAGTGTTTTTGTTAGTCATATGATTGGTAAATGTAGTCATATAAAAACTTGAATTAAAAAAAACAAGAGATTGATATTCTTTGGATACTGTTTTACAAATCAGAAGCCTATTTCAAGAGGTCAGATTCCGCCTTGCCTGTGTTTTAATCGACATATATGAAATTTTATGCTATTGCAGATGACTCTAGAGTGATTTGTCCCATCATAAACCAGAATTCTTGGTAGTTATTTATTTCCATTAACTATACAAAGAATCTGGAAGAGTAGTTTAGGCTACACATTCAATGAAAGGAGACATTCATTTCAGTCTGTGCTGACAGTATTCCAGAGATAATGCAGAAGCTTTAAAATTTGGGAAGATGGCTGAGTAATGGTGGTAGAAATCATGACAATTATATTGCATCTGCAAAGACTCATAAATAACAAATAATCCATCCACAAATCTGTATGATGCTGTATGGTTGAAAACTGTTAAATAAATTAATTGTAGTTCTTATAATAGAACTTTGGGATAGAAGATTCTAATGGACTATTTACAACTGATTTACGTATTTCCTATTTTTAAAGCAAGTTTTGCAATAATAAAATGAATTAATATTGGTTCAAGAATCTGAGTTAAATACCAAAAACTAATGAATGTTCTGTGTAAGATGGAAATATTTGTTAACTGCATAAGTTTTGCTTGTGTTTGGATAAATAGGGTCATACTTATTTTCCTATTTGTGAGCAAACCTGAGTAATAAGGGAAGAAGGTATGAAGTAGAGACAGACAGTCAAGACATTTCTTGAAATGGCAGTTTCTAAATTACAATTTTATTCTAAAGAGTATGGACAATAATATTCTTTCTGTGTCTACTAGGAAACAGTGAGAAAAATACAGACCTGTGCAGAACTCCAAAAGACAAATAAATAGGGCTAGAAAAGTCTAATAAGTGCAAAAATCATTTGTGATAAAGGCCTGGAGTGAGTAAAACTTTTAATCTGGATTTTGGTTTGTCTAAAGTTGGAAACATTTAGTTTTACATGAAGATAAATAGATATTAATGACAGCAGAATATGAATCATGTCTATTTTCAGCTATATGGAAACAGAATAAAAGAAGATTAAGAGCTTGCCTACATCACTTTAAAATGAGCTACCTTTAAGTGGTTTGAGCTGTTTCAAAGTAAATGAACCCCCCCAAAAAAGCTGCCTTTTGCTTAAGTACAAGTCATTACTTCCCTGTATGATGAATCCCATTTGGTGTATGTATTCTACAAAGTGGGAATGCTATATCCGTATAGGTAAAAAAACCCATGCATACTTCTTTGCTTTATGAGCAAATTCATTGTCTGTGTGGTTTTTTACCTGGTGGCATATTAAACAAAAGAAACCACTGCATTCCACACCAGTGAAAAAATAAATTCTCATGATTTTGATACCACATGATTGGCCATATTATGAAGGGGCTAGTTAGCATTCTTTTCAAAACACTTAGTGGACTAAAATAATAGTTACAGCACAAATAGTACCTCTGTGCTAGTAGGTGGGGATAACTGCAGCACTGTTAGCAATACCAGTGACATGGTACAGAGTAGTTTTGATAGTGGAACAGAAGCAGTAATCTGTAGCTTCTTCACATACAGCTGTCCTTTTGCAGCTGCAAGTGTACTTAGAGGATCCATGTAAGAAATTAGAGATAGTGAAGATAAATTGAGAAGCTGTTTCAGAAGGAATTTTTCTTTCAGCATCTCCCTTTTTTATATATTGGTGGGTCTAGGTTCAAGAAGAATTCAAGCACCACTGAGAGAAAATTTTCTAGCAAGGGCTGCAGAATTTGCCTTTTGTGGGATGATCTGAAAGAGAGAAGTGAAATTTAAAAGGGAAAGGTGCCAGTCAGGATCTGAAAGGGTAATCTGATGATCTAGGCTAGAAGTTGCCTTTGCACTTGCATAATAATATTTAGATGATCCACGCGATGCACAGTAAAGGAAGTACCTATTTCCGAAGGCTGAAATAAGATGTCTGAGTCATTGCTGGTGGTTCACCAAGGTGTTCCCACATGACATTACATGAGTCTGGAAGGGCACAGGTCCTTATAGCAGTATCAAAGAAGAGGTAGTCCTGATGCAGTATGGCTTTGTTTTCTGTTTTCAAAAGCCTGTTTTATATTCCACCCAGAGAGGATCAAAGTTTACTGCATCATTAATGCTACTTTTGAGATGAGTTTGAGGCACTTGGAAGGGGGGTAGTTTTATTTTGAAACATGAAGATCACAGTGTACTACTTGCTTGCGCTTCATTTATTATCATCCTATGTTTGATATTGAATTTCAAAATGGCATTATGGCACTGGTAACAGTTTTAACATTTAACATTAATGCCTTTTGGCATTAAGATTTATGTCTGTATTTAAAAAGCCTTTCCAAGCTTAACATTGATGATATTATAGTTTCAAGGATTTGTTGATGTAAAAGAAGTTTTAGAGAATTTGACTTTAAAAAAATCACGTAAAATTTTAATTATGACATTACAAATCTAAAAAATTTGCTCCAATTTCCTGTAATAATTATCAAAACAAGGGATGTGCACAATTTAAGCACCAAATAACAGATCTTTGATAAACACATATCCATACTAAGAAGCTGTTTTTTCAGTTTAGTGCAGTCAAAAGTTGAGCATTTGACTCTAAACCTATATTTGAAGGCGTCATTTACCTTTCTCATTTCTTTCTGATGTTGAAAAGTGGTTAATTCCATCAGAATTAAAATAAAGTTTTAGCAATGTAAAGAAAAATTTGTTTTCTCTCTTGAAAAAATAAATCTCTTCTTTTTATGCTTTTAGACCTTCTCCATGTGAAGCTGAACTTCAGGAATTAGTGCATCAAATTGACATCATGGTAAACAGAAAGCAACTGGAATGGGAAAGAAAGATGAGAGCTTTAGAAGTGAAGATGGATATCCAGGATCAAGAATTATTAAGTGTCCAAAGCAAACTGGATCAAAAAGGTCAAGAGGTATTTAAGAATATCACGTTCTATAAAGGAAGTATTTATTCTGGTACTTACTTATTAGTATGCTTTAAATGCTCTATAAGGTCTGTTATGTAAAAATGCCAAACACCCTTTAAAGGTCACTAATTATCCTTAGTGTTTTGTTTTAAATTGTGCTTCTGTTCTGAAAAGTGATCGTAAAAATGTCATTGAAAATCTCATATTTCTTCTGTTTCCCTAAAGTCTAAATCAAATATCCTCAGTTTAACTGTAAAAAAAATAATTTTATGGTTTTTTTCTAAATGCCAACACTTCTCGTTTCATCAGAAATTTTAAATGGAAGTGTACAATTCAAAAAGGTTCACAAAATTATGTCTCTGTAGCTCCTGTTTATATCTGATTTTCATCATTTTACATGATATACTGTTTTTGTATGATAATTTTATTCATCGTGAAGATTTGAATTGTATTACTACTTCGACTTTCTTACGAAACTGAAAGCCCCAGTGTACTTGGTATTGTCTGTACTTCACAGTCTTGTCTGCTGAGTATTCATTCAGAAGCATCAAGAAATCCTTGCATAGCATTCAGTTCTAGTTCAAGACAGCTGAATTTAGGTGTCTACACAAGGGCATTGCTGTGTGAGCTAGGTGTCTAAACTGCCAGTGGCAGTTCTGAAAATGGAGTAACTCTCCCTAATGAGCAATTAGGAACTTGCCCTTAGTCATCGCGGTCAGAGGAGCCAAAAGAATAATTCAGGTAGCCAATCCTCAAAGCCTCAATTTATTTGCCTGTACAGAGATGTTATCTGAAATACTTTAGCATATTCTGCCTAGCTTCCAGCTGTCCTTCCAGAAAAGCGTAAGTGTCATGTATGCACCTGGTCATATTTCTCAGATCTCTGTGAAACTCAGTAATAATTCAAGTTTTCTCAAATGGCACTGTACTTAGGGAGCTGAAATGAGTCTACGAGGTCTTCCAATAATTTGTACATAAGTAGTGGAAAGTCTTTCATATGATTTATTAGAACCATTCAAGGAAATTTTTCACAATGGGGTACAGCATTCACATAACCGGGTCAGAAAAACTTTCAGAAATTATCTTTTATGACAGCCTTGTACAATATTATCATTAAATCATAACATAAGTATACACTGAGGTTTTTTACTATAAAATCTCCCAATTTTATGTTGATACCACAATCTGGGTTTGTGGTATCCAGTTTTATTATTAGGTTACTGCATTAAAATATATTTTTAATATCTCTCCCTTAAGCAATGGTCTTCTTCCAAAGTGTAAAATTACTTTTCCAAAAATGACCTACTTTGAAACACTTCAGAAAAGATACATTTGAGTGCTTATTCTAACTGTAGGTGGGACTACTTCAACAAAAATTGGAAGACTTACAGAAAACTAAATATGAAATGGCTCAGAGCTATGAAACTCAGCTTCAAGCACTGAAATCTCAAGTAAGAAAAATGTCAATTTCATTATTTTGTGATTGCATTATAAAAAGCTTATACATGCCAAATGATATAGATGTAGTGTTATGGATTTGGGAAAGATGAATCGTGTCATACAAATGATGATGACTACAACTTCCTCCCAGGCTCCGTTATAATTTCTGTACTGTCATGTCCAAACTGCTTGGATGGATTTTGATGTGATTGTAACATCTGTTATGAAGACAGATATGTGATTTCCTGACTTCGGACTAACAAAAACTGAAAATGAATAAAACATAGTTAGATTTATGCTATTAAGACTCTGATGCACATCAGGAATTCTAAGATTTAAACTGTTCTTGCTACACATTTTTCTGCTTTTAAGGGACAATTAAAGTGATTTGGTAGTTTTCCATAAGGTACAGCTTTCCATAGTATCAAAACAGGAGTAAGCTAGATTAATGATACCGGGAATTTGTTTGAGCTTTATTTATTTCAGAGTGTACTCACAGCCCAGAAAGCCAATTGTATCCTGGGCTGCATAAAAAGAAATGTGGCCAACAGGTTGAGGGAGGTGGTTCTTCCCTTCCACTCAGCTCTGGTGAGACCCCACCCAGAGTGCTGCATCCAGCTCTGGGGCACTCAGTACAAGAAAGACACGGACCTGGTTAGAGCGAGTCAAGTGGAGGCAACAAAGATTCTGAAGCACCTCTCCTGTGAAGACAGGCTTTGAGAGCTGGAGAAGAAAAGGCTCCAGGGAAAGCTTAGTGCAGCCTTTCAGTAGTTAAATGGGGCTTATTAGAAAGATGGGGACAGACTTCCTATCAGGGCCTGTTTTAAACTGAAACCTGAGGAACAGTTTGGGTTTTTTTCAGTGAGGGTGGTGAAACACTGGAACAGATTGCCCAGAGAAGTTGTGGATGCTCCATTCCAAGGCCAGGTTGGGTGGGGCTTTGACCAACCTGTTCCAGTGAAAGATCTTCCTGTTCATGGCAAAGGGTTGGACTAGATGATCTTTTAAAGGTCCTTTTCAACCCAAACCATTCTATGGTTTTATGATTCTGTTTGGCTGTGTTTGCTTTGCCACCTGCATTTTTATTTCTTCAGTATTTTCTACTTCAATCATAAATCAAAAATTTTTACGAAACTTCAGTTGTTTCTGTTTCTCACATTTGAAGAAGTTAACATACACAATTCTGCATTGTTTTTCTGGCCATTTTTCTGTTCCCTTCACTGGATTCTCCTACCAGATACTTAGTGTTATAATTTCCAGTCATCACACTTACTATATAATCATCTTAGATTGCATAAATTGGCTATCATTATTTTCATTTAGAAGTGATAACACCACCTGAATACATCAAACAAATAAATGCATTACTTATTTTTAATGTTATGTTGTCTTTAATTTATATTTTGTTTTATATATGAAAATTGATTTGGCAAACAGTTCTGTAAGTAAGCAGTGAATGCTTTGGTTGTTTTGTAATTAACACTTTCAGTCATTTGGGAAAGTAGGTAGAAATAAAAGCTGTTTTATCATTTACACAAATTACATTAAAAAAAAAATCTTAACATGATTATGGAGAAGATAAACATCACACAGTGAAAAACAGTGTGACTTTTTACGTATAAGATGTAAGTTACCTTTAGCAATGCAGAACTATCGCCCAAAATATAGTATATCTCTCTCTTGTCCTATCCTTTTTCACATTTGCTGCAATATTTTTCACTTCTTAATGATTTTTTTAATCACATGCTAAAAATGATTTGGTTTATGTTACATGTTCTTGCTAAGATCTTCAATGAAATTGAACCTTCTGAATTTAAAACTCCAGGCCATTTTTTATACAGATTTTTATTTTGAAGCTCTTAGTTACCCTACAGGTCCTTTCCACAGGCAAATACAACATTTTCTCCTTTTTAAAAGAAAAAAAGTATCTGATATTTCCTACCTACAAGCTTTTTTCTTTAAACCTGGTTATATTTTTTGCCCAGCTCCTCCTCTTTAGTTACCACTTAGACCACCTAACCTTTCTTTGAGTTTCTTGATTGCTTCTTCTTTTATCTTTATTCAGAAGTTTAGATTTATAGCTCTTAAGAATATTTTCCCAGTCCATGTCTCCAAACATTTCCTCTTCTCTCAGTCATCCTGTTTATTTTGACAAAGGTTTCAGCACTGATGCTCTTTCCATTTTATTTTCTGATCCCCATTCTTATCCTTTCACCAAACCATATTTCTTCATGAAATGCCCATCTTGTACACACTAACTGAAGAAGTAAACTGTTGAATGCCTACGTTAGGAGGTCTGCCTGGATTCTCTGTGATAAACAGAAGTCTGCCTGTCAGAACAATTCCAAGCACCTGTGCTAGACAGGACTATCCCACTCTGTGTCTCTAGCTTTTACCAGTCTCCTTATTAAGTTTCTTTCTTGAATTAGAGTGCTGCAGGGTCTACAGTAAAATTACTTTAATGTCCCCAATTCTCAGCTACACAAACTCATATCTAAAATATAGAGCTTCCTTGACAATATTAATCTTTGCCTTATCTCCTTTGACTCCCTTCTTTTGGTTCTTATCATCACTTGGAAGTTATCCCACCTTCTAAACTGTATAATATTAAGAGCTACACTTTGGTTTTGCACAAATGGTATGTCACTATATACCAATAGCGTCGTAGCTTTCTCTGCAGATGTATTCTTAAAATTGCTTCCAAGATTTGTTCCTCCCTAATCTCACTAGAAATAGAAAGGATCACTTTTTCTGGCTATCAGAATGCTAGACTATTTCAAACAAATTTCTTTTCTGTTCTCTGCACTTTTTTTCCCTTGGTACTGCTAAAAGCAGCTGTTTAATGAGCAGCAGTCCCACTGAATTGATTGTGTGCCTGTTGAATGCAGTAATACCTATATTTTTCTTGTATTAGGGAAATAATTCCTGGTATGTAACCTGAAACTCCTAGGCCACACTGCTGGACTCAGTCAAATGTACAACATTTTGTCATAATTAAATAGCAAAAACTTTAGAAGTTCATCTTCATTACTTGTTCCTTCTTTTTTTTTTTTTTAATTTATGTCTCATATTTATTCTCATTTTGAAAATGACAGAAATCTCTCACCAAAAGAACAAGAATCTATTCTTGCTCTGAGCACTTGGCAACTAATTGCCTTGCTTAGACATTTAAAAGCTAGATGGCTACATCTGAACTACCTCAGGCTCCCTTTAGAGTCAGTGGAGAGAAATGGACACCCCTAGAATACAACTCATGTCAGTGTATGACAAGAATTTAAGATAGCTGAAATGACTAAGCATTTGAAGGCAGCTTTTTCTAATGCAGAGTAGCTCAGGCTTGTATGTCTAACTTTCAGAAATCTGAACTTAGATTAATTCTACCCCAGAATTCACTAAAGTGCCTCATCTTTTGGTCTTTTGTTTGTTGTTCTTTTTCTTTAATATGTAAAACATGCAAAGAGAACAACTTGGATGTTTTAAAGTGAATATCTAGCATTAAATGGAAGGATTCTTGGCTTTTAGTCTAGTTTCTAGTTATGATAACATCCAGAATCTAATCTGTCTGTAATATACTAGAATATGTCATATACATATATTACTATGTGTCATTATGTCACTAAATGCTTAGACTGAATTTTCTGATTTTAGCCGTTCTGTTCCATTTTAGACTGATTTGCTGAATTGCTGGATCTTGTATTTCCTAACCTTTTTAGCCTGAACATTCTAATACCTGTCTTATCTGAGTTTGCTCTTCCCAGGCAGTTCATATATGCCATAATATATTCAAGAGCAAAACTGTTATTTGCAAAAGGGTATCTTTCTTCCAAGGGCAATGAGTTCCATGTTGTTTGAGCCTGTATACTCTTGACTAATTTCAAATATTTTATCTTAACTGTGTTCTCTGGCAAGGTCAACTTCAAATATAGGCAGATACTCTGCAAGACTTCTGATTCGGTTTTGAAGGCAGTATCTCAGCTCTGTAAATCTGTGTTACAGAATTGCTATTCAGACATTCCAAGTTGGTCAGATCTATCCACAGGCCTCCCCATGTCATGAAACTTTCTAGCCCAGGACAATCTATCTTCTTTTCATCTTTTCAATTAGTTTTCTCTGTCCCATATGATGATTCCCAAGTTCATCTTAAATGTCGCTAGGAAGTTTCCATACAATTTTTTTTGCTTCAGTTTCTGTATCTTTTCTAGACTTCTTTGGCCATCATTGTCATCTGCACAAACCTCAGTTGTTCAGTCCGTGTTGATTCAACAGGACTCCATTCCATTTCCAATTACTTCCTTGGAAGTAGTTTATTTTCCAAACAGTATTTCACTTTGAGCAGTTAACAAAAATATGAGATTTTATGGATTTTGTTTGGTTATACAAAGAACTTTATGTTAGAGTCGGAATTTTTAAAGTCATATATACCTGAATTTAAAGGAATTTATCAACAAGAGACACGATCAGTAGTTATAAGGTTCTTTTCCACTCAACATTCTTCACAAAGTTCTTTTGCTCAGCTTTCCTTAAAACTATATTTTTAGTGTTTCCTTTGTCAATATTCTTGAGTTTGCTTTTTTTTCCCCAAAACAAATGTACATATCCCTACTAGATAATGTCAGTTTTCTGTATCAAACCTGTTAACAGCCACTAGAGAGACCCTTTGCTTGTGCAGTAGAGTGAACTGTTGATCAGACCAGCTGTTTTTCTGAAGGGGCTGGTACTTCCCTTGGTGCCTTCCCTTCTCTTCCTCTACCTCCTTTCCTCTGAGTCCTAAGCTGGGTTTTCATGGTAAGATCAGTAGGCAGTGTCTTTTGTCTATTTAGTATCTAATTCTGTGAGACACTCTGTGGTAATTCCAGCAGAATGCAATCATCACACATGTAACATTTCCACAATTTTCTCTATAACAAAGAAACATGCAAATTTAAAGTACATTAATGATAATCTGTCATTCTTACTAGCGAAGCATCCTTTAAAAATGTCAACACAAGATGGCAGTAAACAAGTATAGAACATTCCATATAAACATTATAAAGGAAGTGACTCTATGGGTAACTGCTATGAAGAACTTCAGCAGAGTTAAGTAGCTGTCAAATGAACCCATTTGAAATGTTAACTAACATTTATGTGAGAGCTTAGTCTTGTTCATCTATAATAGATTAACTTTATTAATTGATTTTTTGTTACATTGATTAAACATTTAGAATGCTGAAGCTGCAGTTGGTGTTTCTAGTTTAAAGAAAACTTTGGCCATGTGGTCATCTTTGATAGATTTTTTCATGTTCAACTCTGTTTTGTTTTTAGTTTTCAAAGTTGACACATAGTTATGAAAAGCTACAGTCACATCAATTAAAACACAAAAAGGTCAACAGTAGAGAAGAATGTGAGGAAAGCCTAGTGACATCGTCTGACCCAAGAAATTTATACAAGAAACTGGAGGTAAGAATACTTTGTTATTATATTCTGATTTTAATATCCCTTTAGAACTAATCTGTGATTTATAGCAGTAAGCTTTAATTTTCTCATAATTCTACAAAAATTATATAATTTTCTTGCTTTGTCAAGAAAGATGCATAGTTTAATATTAATATGAATTTTTTTTAAGTGTAACTATAAATAAATGTTACTGTTTTCCTGATTATTATATGTGTATATGTGGATTATATGATCTCATCAGACCTTTTACATATGCAGGGTACTGTCACATAATACCTACCATTAATTCAAGTTTTATAAAGCTCAGGACAACCTTGACCATGTTGGGTTACGTGGAAAAAAAAGATTTAGGTTTGGAAAACTGCTTGTTGCACATATATCTTGACAGCACCTGTGTAGCTGAGACAATCCACAACCTTGACCTCAGTGCCTGGTTTCCCAAAGTAAAGCCTGAGGAAGGATTAGGCACTTAAAATACCTGCCACAGAATCCAGCATACTGATTGGGGGACTAGATAATAGGTGCTGAGAACAGAATCCAGTCGCATTTCCTATCCCTTTGGACACAGAATGGATTGTAGTGGACCTGTTCTTGGATACAGGATGATACTTATTTCTGATCATAATTCCCAGCCTTATCTTCTCAGAGTTACAGTTTACTTTACAATCTGTGGATTAATCAAATGTTTATTGGACCAGCAGAAAAGTTAGGCAACACAGAGAACTGGCATGTAGAGAGTGTGCTTGGAAGTGGTGGCTTCTCCCCAAATACTTCTCTGGCTCCATTCACTGGTGCAGAAACTGGTATCCAGTCTCAGTTCTTATAACTGAGTGATATAATCTCTAGCTGTGCTAACTTTTGCTGCTTCTTTTTTGCTTACCCAATAAATTTGCTGGTATTCTGTGCAAAGTGAAGCAACTTCAAAAGGAAGAATTCCAGAGCCTGTTAAAAGATAACGTGTTTGTTGGGTAGAAAAATGAACATGAGAAGATTCTGCTTCCGATTCTGTCTGGAAGGATTATGAAACTGTCTTCCACATACGGGAAGAACAGTCTAACCTGTAATCTGATGAAGCATAGGAAGATCACAAAAAAAATTTGTACTTTCTCTGGCCATCCTCTGTAAAGAGCATAATAAAGTAGTATATGCTTAGAGCGCTTACCAAACTGGGTCCTGCAGGCAAAGCATGCAGAGGAATATCAATTGAAAGTGAGAGCTAGTTGCCTAGCTGCTAAGCATTGGGAAGATTTACACGTTTATGATGTAGATTTATGATGCAGATGATGTGGACACTGAGAATTTATGATCAAAAAATTAACCTCTAGTAGATTTTAAGTACTTTTGTACTTTAACTGTAATTAAGCAAGGTTTTAGGGTCTTTATTTTGGACTTGTCTGTCTTTTATGTTCTTCTATAAGATACAAGATTAACTTCTGCAACCTTCAGGTGACTGTACCTACACAGATATCCTAGACACATCGTAGTTCTCCATGATGTTGCTGTCTCTTCCACATGGAAGTTCTTACCATCAGAAAAGCTACTACGATTTGGACGGCAGCATAGCTGCCAACAGCTGCTACTACAAGAATAATAAATGGGCTATACATCTATCATTGTCTAAATATATCACTGCTGTGAAACTGTCTGATCGAGCTAATTTGAGAATAACCTTATTCAAGATTAAAATTTGAAAATAATGTAAGACAATGCTGTAATTTGATTAATTATGCAGTATGAAAAATAAGTGCTTGGAATATATTTAGCAAATTCTAGTATTCAGGAAATAATTACTGTGTTGAAAATTTACTAAGCTCAGCAGTAAGACCTTGAATCTAAAGTCCTCATTAAGTAGTCTGAAACTCCATTTGTATCATGTTTTATAAAATAGAAAGATATTTATTGTTTTAAATGCCAAGGCAGATATTAGGAAAGCCATGAAATAAGATTTGTATTAATCTATGTTGAAAAGCATTCAATTTTGTTTCCGTAGAAAAAAAATCTTATTTTTTAAATTTGGGGAATATGCCAGTTTAGGTTAATTATAAAACATCACCTGTCTTTTTGGAACAACATTTCCATTGTGAAAAAGGACATTCTCATAACAGTTTATTAGTTTCCACTGTATAAAGGATTACACTGTTATTTTGCTAACTTTTCAAACTAAAAGAGCAACAGCTCTAAACTGGAGTTCTCCTGCTTATTTTTTAGTATACTGCCTTTAAAGTCTATTTGTGAACATATAAGATCTGGTATGATCTAAAAGCAAATTCAAATACTCTATAAATATGAATGTAAGTGCAAATACAAAACCAGTATTAGATAAATCTGATGTAATAGAATTAAACAGAGTTTTGTTTAAACTAGGTGAACTCAGAACCCAAAGTAGCCATTGCAAAGAGGGCAAGAAGTAAAATTTATTCAAGGTAGCTGCTGACCCATCTGTTACAGAAAAATAAGAAGGCAAAAAGCAAGCACTCAAAACATGTGTCTGAATATTAAGGATTTGATTCCCTGTTGATTACTCTGCTTGACATTGATATAACTTTAAAGTCACAGGAACAACCATCCAGTAAAATGAATATATTATGGTAATAGTCTAATATCTATGGCAATTGTTTAAAATATTTTATATGTTTTATAATTTGTATAGTTTTATAATATATTTTATAATTTTTATTCAGGGATTATGTTTATCATCCATTTTTGTCAGATTAATATCCCTTAAGACTGGATTTTTTTCTGGTGGGGATGACTTGATGGCTGGTTTATATAATTGTTATTATTTTCTTCTTTCCAAAATTATGGAAAGATTATGTATTAATTACAAAACTAACTTTTTTTTAGAACTATACAAATTGCAAAAATATCTCGATTATGGAAAAGAGATATTTTCCCTACGTTTTCTAGTCTTGTTTTTCTGTCTTTCAGGAATTTAAATTGAGAGAAGGGGATAAGAATGGGACAATCTGCCAAAATTATCCTGTTTATTTGGATGCTCAACAAAAATTATTGTCCGAGAAATATAATTTATTTCAGGTAAAAGTCCTACCTTCCTGCTCTAGGAAGAAAATGAATGGCTTGCTCAGCCAGAACTTATTTTAACTTAATTTAAAAAAATTAAGCCCAGAGTGAATCTGATAATGCATGTCTATATTGGTAGTGAATATATTGCATTAGGTAAGGCAGGCCCATACTGGAAGATCTAATGATACATACAGTTATTTTACTTTAATTTTCTCATGTAAATGAGAAGATGAATAAGTATCATGATGAAAATTACAACATTTCTAAAAAAAAAAAAAATGACAAGTTATTTAAAAAGTTTCTTACCAAGTAGTATGTGCCATGACTATGTTGACTCAAATATAAAGTTCCTTCCAATCTGTTAGCCTTCGTTTTTTTGAAGATCATAAATATATACTAATACTGTTTATGCAGAAAAATGAGTTTTCATATGCTACTCCAGAATCACTCTTGCAGTTGTTTGCTGGATCACTTAACCCTTTTTTTTTTTAACATATTTTTCAGCTTTCTAGTTATGATTCAGTCCTTGGTTGACTTTGTGATTCTTTTTTACTCGCCAATTTGCTCATTACTTTTTTTATATATAGCCTATTGATCCAGCACATTTTAATTTTTTTAATTCCTTCCAATCCAGAACAAAATGTTGATTTAATGATGTCTTGATGACCTATCTTGCACTAAAAAAAAAAAAGAAAAAGAAAATAACTCACAAACCGCCTAGGCCACAAGACACCTTGAAAATTAAGTAAGGGGAAGCCAATTATGTTGCTGACTGGTAATTCCCTTTTCCACTGTTGCTAAGGTCATTGGATCTTAATCTAGTGAAGCTTTTTCTTAACGATTCCTATGAGACTCTTTACTCATATTCAGAGTTCCAAGAATGACAGTTAAGTTTTGGGTTGCTGAGACAATTATATTCCAACTATTGAACTTCCATACAAATGTGTTAAAAACCCAAGTCTTTGACTTGACAAAACTATTGACTGCTATATATTTATTATATAGTTAGACAAGTCAAAATAGAGTACTCAGTGATCATTTGCATTTTTCTGTTGAGGCTTTCATTGCCAAGAGTGAACTTTCTTTGAAGACAATTTTCTTCACAACTGTAACAGAACACCTGTTCCGATGGATTGTTACCCCTTAACTGTTTCAAAAGTGTTAATTGTTCCTGTGTCTTTGTCTCTAGTTGCTCTTTTGTGAGGTCTCTGATCGCCAGTTGGAGTCTTGCACTATATTTTTCTTAGGATGCATTGACACTTTGGTATGTCAGAGTCCATAACTTAGATGTCAAAGGGACCTTAATTTGTTATCTCTAGGAATGAAACTGCAAATTTCTTTTGGCTTTTCATTTGATATGCAGCCAATGGTCCATTCTGCTTAGGTTCTCAGCCAACACAAATTACAGGAACATAGTCAATAACATCAAAAGCTGTCTGAAGCATGACTTCTTGCAGTCCTTGTCAGTGAAATATGGTATTTGTAACCCTATTTATTTTTACGATATATTTTCTTGCTCAGCTTGGTGTCTGCACATGATATATGATTTTCAGATTATATTTAGCTGTCATTTTTCAACTAATTTTCAGTCTTCTGAAAGATTAGTACTGCTTGTTAATCTCCCAGTAGAGGGGCCCATGTGGACAGTTTTTTAAACAGCAAAAACGGTTACCATAGTAATTATGCTTCTTCACAATGCCTGTGAATTCAGAAATAGTGGCAAAACCAATTTTCTGAAGTTTTGGTTTTAGGATTTTAATTAGCACAAGAAACTGAATGAAGTGTAAGATCCTACAGAATGTGCAAATAATTCTTCCCCAGGTTTAAGGATAATGATCTCAAAGAAGTACAGTTCCTGTAGTAACTGAGCTGTTTATACATGAACTATGTAATGCTAGCCCCCTAGTCAAAGGTTAATATCTATCCTGAGGCGCACACACACACAACTCCTACTGAGTTCAATGAATCAAAGAGGAACATTTCTCGAATTATTTTCTATAGGCAACTGCTTTGAGTAGGTCATCATAATCACCTTTTTCACATTTGAGGATCGTTAACATTAAGTACCAGGAAAATACACAGCACGGTAGAAAAAATCCTTGAAAAAATTCTATGCCCTTGAAGGTTTCTGAAACATATTTTTACTGAGGGCAAGGAACATGAGACCAAAAAAAAAGGAAGTATCCTTTAGAGAAGTAATTAAAACTGTTCCAATTGTGCCACCTTTTCTAAGCAAATACTGGTGAAGATGTAAATAGCTTTATGATTTCAGTACTAACGGTTTGGTCCTAGCAATTTACATATAATTATTGAATTCATTTAAAATATTTTCTTGCTTTATAGAAGCAGACCCAGAATTATCAATTCCAAATACACAATAAGAAAAAAAATCAAGACAAGGTAATTACCTATGCCCAGCCTGAAAGTGAAAAGGATGATTTGATTATTGAAAAACTAAAGGCAACTGTGAATGAAATAGCAAGGAACAAGAATAAACTCGAAGAGGAAAATCTGAAGCTCCGTGAAGATCTAAAAGTTTACCAAAACCAGTGCCAGGTAGTAACGGTTTTTCATGGTGACTATGGAATTAATGCTGGAAAATTAATTACTTAGGAGTATACTTTTAAAAGTTGTATTGAGATGCCTACATAAAAGATCTGTACATTAGATGTATTCTTTGCAGGAACACAGAATGATCTGTGAACAGTATGATTTTTTTTTTAGTAAATCAGAAATGGGTTTGATTTGTAGTAGTATATTTTTTCTTCTCTTGTTTACCTAGAGTTTTATAACTTTCCTATATCCATAGCATCTCCAGGAATATAGCCTAGTTCACTTGGTTCCTTGTATTCAAATGACTTCTATGAAATCTCTTTATCTGATTTATACCTTGTTGCACACTGTGCCTTATAGCAAGTAAATAAGTATATAGAGAAATGTGCAGTATACTTTGTTATTTTTGAGGGGAGATTTGCAGTCAATGAATTTTTAAGTTGCTCTCCATGTAAAGAACCATTAGTTTTTACCTTACCCCTAGATCACTGTTTTCCAGCATAGCACTGATCTATGAAGACACCCATTTGCGCCTCTTCTTTTGGTCTTGGTATATGAGTTCTGACAAGATTGAGATAATACAAGATCTTTACAGCCTTTTTTACTAGCTATGTTTGAAACAGATCGGGAATGAGATTCTCGTTGCTATTTTTTTCTGGTAGCATATATCATTTATGCTTTTGCTTATTTATTTAAGCACTTCTAGGTTCAGTAATATATTGAATGGCCTCTAGTAACTTCAGCTCTTTCTGGAGAAAGATCCATTTCTGCTTATAGACAGCCTTGCAGAGTTATAACAGCATATGCAATAAACTTTATAGGAATTAGCGTACATGTGGCAGAGGTTAATTTCAGGTGTTGTCTGAACAGCCAAGTCATGTCATTTGCACACTAGTTCACTGAGTCTATTGCCTTATACAAGTTATTGGTATACAAGCAAAACCTCTGTTTTGGTGCCTGTTAAAAAGCCTGCCACCAAAAGCAGTGGGACTAAAATACAGAGTGGAACAACCATGGCATTTGGAGCAAGCGGATAGATGCTGCAAGATGGAGAGAGTAGATGTCATGTGCTGTAGCCTTTAAGAAAATCTTCAAACAGGAGGAATTTTGGAATCCTGCAGAAAATACAGGAGGTGTAGGAAGCACTGAAGATGTTTTAAGTAGAAGTGGAGATAGATGTACATAACATTGTTACCTAAAGGGCAGAAAGTTGCAGAATAACTGTGTTGGTGGTGTGGAACACTGCTGTATTAGAAAAACTGCATTTGGAAATAGCTGCATAAGGTAAACTGATGTAACGTCAATTTATAGTGAAAAGGGGTAGCTCAGAGGAAATATCTTTTTTAGGAATGTCTGTATGAGAAAGAAGGAAGTGTGAGGGCTGCTGTCAGCCAGAAACAGTCAGCAGGTTTGCATGAAGGAGAGATAGGTGGAGGATGGGAATAGTCGAACGTGATATAGGTAAAGGAGGGAGCAGTAGATGGGAATCCTGGTGTGAAGAAGTCTGATGGCAATGAAAGCAAGACATTTATTGTGCCTCATATATCCTCTATGCCTATGACCATTTCATTTGTGCTGCTAAATACTTCTTTCATGCTATTAATTAGCAAGTGATAAAGTGAAATGTATGGAAGACCAGTTTGTTGGCTGTACAGAAAATACAAAGTTTAGAAAATCCAAATGGACACTGCAGTCTATTTCTCTACCTTATGAATTATCTGACAAACTTATCTGCAGCCATACATGGGAGGCAGCCTGAAAACATCACACAGGGATCTTGGTTCTTGAAAAGTCTGCATTAAACTGCTAGACACTAATTTACATAGAAACACATCATATAATTGTATTTAAAACATTGAACAGTGGGTTGGCATTGGGAAGGTTTGGTAGTTGGGGTGCTCCAGGGATGGCCTCTGTGAAAAGCTGCTAGAAGCTTTCCCTGTGTCTGACAGAACAAGTGCCAGCTGGCTCCAAGATGGACCCACCACTGGGCAAGGCCAAGCCCATCAGTCACAAACACCTTGGGGATAACATATTCAAGGAGGGAAGAAAAGAGCCCTGCGCAACCACAGTCAGGAGGAAGGAGTGAGAATATGTGAGAGAAAAAGCCCTGCAGACCCACAGTCAGTGAAGAAGGACAGGGAGGAGGTGCTCCAGGTGCCAGAGCAGAGATTCCCCTGCAGCCCGTGGTGCAGACCATGGTGAGGTAGCTGTGCCCCTGCAGCCCAGGGAGGCTCATGGTGGAGCAGAGATCCACCTGCAGCCCCTGGAGGACCCCATGCCAGAGTGGGTGGATGTCCAAAGGAGGCTGTGGCACCATAGGAAACCTGTGCTGGCGCAAGCTCCTGGCAGGATGTGTGACCCCATTAAGTCCGCACTGGAGCAGGTTTTGTGGCAGCATTTGTAACCCCACAGTGGGGGACTCACTCTGGAGTAGCCTGTTCCTGAAGAACTGCACCTCATGAAAGGGACTCACACCAGAGCAGTTCGTGAAGAACTGCAGCCCATGGGAAGGACTCACATTGGAAAAGCTTGTGGAGGACTGTCTCCTGTGGGAGGGATCCCACACTGGAGCAGGGGAAGAGTGTAAAGAATCCTCCCCCTGAGGAGATTTAGTTTTTATTTCTCATTATCCTGCTCTGATTTGATTGTTAATAAATTAATTTCCCCAAGTTGAGTCTGTTCTGCCCATGGCGGTAACTGGTGACTGATCTCTCCCTGCCCTTATCTTGACCCACAAGCCTTTCTCTCATGTCTCTCCCCTGTCCAGCTGGGGAGGGCAGTGATAGAGTGGCTGTGGAGTGCTGTGGTGGGTTAACCCACCACAAAACAGGATTGAGTAGAACTAGAGCTGATCAGGAAATTTTTGAGGTTTCGTTTTGGTATCAACCGTGCCAAGCTAGTCAAAGCAAAACTTTTCACAGAAGAAAAGAGAAGGTTTGGTAAATTTTCAGCTTGAAATAGACTCTTTATAAGTTGCATTTTATTTGATGTTCTCTAAAGAAAACCTAAATTTTTCTGATGCAAAATTAATTTTAATGTTGGTGTTTTAACCGGATGCAATAAATATTTTCTAAAATAATAAGTGGTGTATATATATATTTTTAAGTGTTATGTGAAGCAGTGAAACTCTTGACCTGAAGGACTGTTTCAATTATTATTGCAGCTGCTGCTGTGACTGCTGTTCTTCCTGCTACTACTTTAATTCACAGAAGAAAATACAATTTATGTAAATACGTATGATGACTACAGTCCGCCATAGACAATATCACTTCTGCCACACAGTTGTGCAAAATTCATTTCCTTTATCCACCCCAGAATGAAATCAGAGGGGTAACTGTCTCCCAGGTTCATATATTATAAAATAATTGTAGCTATTTCTTGAATGTTGAAGTCATGAAGATGATAATAAGCAAGTCTTGCAGACAATTTTAACAGTTCATTAAGCTTTATTTCACCTGCATAGGCCCCGACTTGCATTTCAGTATTTAAAAAAGCTCTCTTGGCCTTAACGTAACAAAGGATAAGATGAATTAATCCATATATGCAGCACTTGCAAAAAAAAAAAAACCAACAACGTAAAAGCACTTCATATCTGTCTTCAGCAGCCCTTTCAGCCAGAAGAAAACCACAGGCTTCTTGAAAGGAAGGTCATTCTCATATGAGGCTCTAAGGGAAATAAACCTTTGAAGTTCTTTCTTGCAGTGTCATTTCTGGATTCCAGTTGTCTTTTGAAACTTTAGAGGCTTGGCTTTATTTTTGCTTTTAAAGATGGAAACTATGTTCAAATAAAATTAAGAAATTATGAGAAATACTAATGTTTTCAGTGCAATGGTTTTAAAGGTAAAGGATCAACATTCTTGGAAAAATCCTTTTTTTTTTAATCTGGAACATGCTTTTTGATCTTAGGTGACAAGAAATAAATATTCTCTGAATATTATTATTGCAAGAACTGATTATTATTGCTACTTTTGTTATTCGTGAGTTATATTTCCAAGTCCTTGTCTTTAGTATGTTTTCAGTTTATTTTTGTGGAATTCTGATTTTTTTTTTGAAGTTCATATTTTATTATGCCAAATTTAACATGTCTTCAGGTTATCTATCACATTATCAATCAGAAATTAGAAGTAAAGCAGAGATATGATTTGTCAAGTCCCTAAGAAAAATCTTTTTGTGATTTTTTGAACATTTTGTGATGTTCATTTAAATAAGCAATTAACACCATGCCGATGGACCTAGTTTTGGAGATGATTTCTATAGCATTGTACTTTTCAAGCTTATAAATTTGGAAATGCTGTTAAGAAAAAAAAAGGAAGTTACTTATGGCACTAATTCCTGCATGTGAAACATGTTCTATGATGCTGCTAAAACAAGCAAACTATGTATTTTAGATGCATTTAGTACAATAAAGAACTTCTGAATGATGTTTCCTATGATAGTTTCAGAAACAGATGCATTGGAACATTGCAAGATCTAAAGAATATTCAGCATCTGATTTTTAGATGAGATTTCTGAAGAAGGGAACTGACAGGAAAGCAATACCTTTTACAGAAATTAAAATCATGTATGTCCGTTCATTTAAATTATACAGGTCTTGAATACAATGTGTTCCAATATAGCATTTTAAGCTGTCTGATTTTATTTAACTGTTTATGCATTTGTTTGTTTCTTTAGAATATGGAGGCAGACTTTTCAGAAATGAGACATGAGCTGCAGTCACGGGATGGTCTCTGGAGAAGGATGCAGCTGGAATGCCAGCAGTTGCATACAGAATTATTGAAAATCAAAGAGTACAAAGATACGCAGGAAATTCAAATAAAGTATGTATGTTGAAAACAATATTTAAATTAACAAGTACTTCTGAGCTAATGACTTTTTTCTTACATTTTATTTACATTAACTCTGTTTAAAAAGATACTCTGGATTCAAATATCAGATCCTAAACAATTTTAGGCTGAGCATTTTCATTGGTAATTATATATGACAAGATTTCAGGCAGTGGATGCAGACTCTGTTAAAAGGCTGTAATGATGCTGAGATCTTTACAAATCAAGGCATTTCATATATTTCTACCAATGTGTTTACAGTCTTTCATTTTCTCAGCATTAAAACACCTTGGAAATAGTGCAATTAAGACTCTCCCTGACCTCCTTTGAATAAAATGTTTGTGTTTTTATGGTTTATCTACTCTGCTGCAGCCATTTGAGATTATATGAAATACCAGTCTACAAGAGCTTTCAGGATTATTCCTGTATATACTTGCAGTGTCGTGAACCTCTAGACATCTCCCACCTGGTTTAGGCCAAATGTTGGTTGTGGTTTGTTTTTTTTCATCACCAAGCAGGTGTTCCACAGTACTACACTGTGGAGAGGATACTGCAGGGTAAAGAGTATTGAACTTTCTGCTTGTTTCATGTTTTGTTTATTTCTTATTTAAAGGCATCAATCATCTCGTGTTCAACTTACTGAGCAACTAGAAAATAAAAACACTGAGTTATTACTATTTGCAGAAAGTCAAGAACGCCAACAAGAAGAGCTAAACAAGGTATTTCCAGATCTGAACTGCAGTGTCGGATTTTTAGAAGAGAGGAGGGTATGTGGATACGCAGAAGAGAGCAGGAGAATACACTGTAGGTTTAGGAGAGCATGGAGGTTTCATATGTGAAAAAGATTTCATATATGGTTGCATTTCTGGAGGTAGTTATGTAGATGTAAAATTGACATTCTGATTCCCGTGCAGTAACTACCTACATCATTGAAATAATGGGAGAGTGCATGCCTAAGCACTACTGTGATTCAGATAATGCCGTGCAACTAATAAAGCCTGCAAGGCTATGAGTAATTAATAGCCTATAGGAGGTAAGCTGTAGCTTGTAGGTGGTCTCAGGATATGCAAACACATCAACTGATACAAGTTAGTACAGCAGATACCCACACAAGGCTAAGCTTAATCAGGTACCTACTATGCAGTCTAGGGCAGTGCTCTTTAGTTTGAACCATGCATCACATTGCATTGCACATTTCAGAAGTGCTGTGAGCAAGCAGCCGTGGCATGGCACTGTGGAATGGTGGATGCCTTGGCAGGCCAAAATACTTTGAATGTAGAGGATGCTCAGAACTCATCTAACAGGCATGTCGTGGTTTTGCTGAGTAGCAGTGTAAGCAAGAATCACAGAATTGTTTGGGTTGAAAGGGACCTCTGGAGATCATCTAATCCAACACCTCTGCCAAGGCAAGGTCACCTAGAGTGAGTTACACAGGAATGCATCCAAGTGGGTTTTGAATGTCTCTGTTTCGATGAAGCTGACTTGGATGCAAGAATTTTGGCATGACAGTCATGATCAAGCTCTTAGGTTTTTTGCATTTACATCTTTTTGTTTAAAATTCTAACATTTCTGTGCAGTTTCCATAAATAAAAATGAAATGTCATCTGTTACTCATTGTGTACAGTACTGCAAGGAATTAAAATGGGTTCAAAAGTTGTTAGGCTGGTGTTTGTAATTTTGTTTCTTAGACAATAAAAAAATCTATCAGCACTAAACTGTTGGTTGTAGTAGAAAGATTATGAAAACAATCTTTGTGTTGATACTTTGAAGAACTCTGCACAGGACATAGTGCAGAAAGTTTGACCTAAATTTTTATATGTAATGGTAGGAAAAATTCTCATAAAGTGATTTACCATATATACCCTTTATTTCTAACATAGTTTCTTATTAAAGGGTCTCTAGATCAATTTATTTATATTGGTCCTGAGTTAATTTAGGTTTCATTAAACTTATTTTAAACTAACTTAGGAGCAATATAAATAAATCATACTTAAGCTTATTGAGTGGATATTTTCTTGGATATTTACCATAAATTTCAATATTTTATTTTTATTACTTTCTTTTAAAACGTTAATTGAAATATGTTATATTTTGTTCATTGCTAATACTAAATATGCAAATGAAAGTACAAGAGAAGTGTTGAAAAAAGATGTAAAAATAAATAAAGCTCTGTGCGCTGACTCATGAAGACATTTTATTTTACAATCTCAAAATCTCTGAATCAGTTAGAAGAGTTGGTGTCTTGGAAGCAACAGCAAAAAAAGTCACTGATAAGTAGCAAGTGATGCAATGATATTTACTGCACAACATTTTTTCTTTTTGAAATGTATTTGCTACAGATAAGAAACCACATTTATCGAGAGGAGCAGTCCCATTGCTCTGAGCAGGAAAGAATGAAGACAGAAATCTCTGACCTGACAGAGGAGCTTCATCAGAAGGAGATCACTATAGCAACTATCATGGAGAAAGCTACTCTTCTGGAAAGACAGTTAAAAATGGAGTTAGAGACAAAAGATAAATTGTTAGCAAAACAACAGGTATGCAAGCAGGCAAAACCATCTTACATCATTTTACTCCACACTATTGATAATGACATTCCTTATCGGTGGAAAAAAGACATTACATTTCTCATGTAGTTTTCATCAGTAGTGCTGTAGTATCTGTGTAGTATTACTAAAGCAGCCAAATTGACACTGGAACACAAAAGCACTAATAAATGTCAACTGTACATCCAAATTGCAGTTTTTTCTTACTAGATTTCAACATGCAAAAGATCTTGAAAACTTCCAAGTTGTGGTTATTATATGTGCTTTATCACTAGAACTGTTTATTTGATTATCTAGAAAGTTTCTAATTTTTAGTGTTATATAAAGCTCTTTCTGCACAGAAAATTCTTATAATTTTAGAGCTGGAAACTCTCAAGATAACGGTGTTTTAATGGCAAATTACAGTTTTAAAAACAAATGTTATCTTCATTATTTAGTTTGTAAACAAAAAAAAACCTTTATATTTATAGGTTTATGGTTGACTGTGGGTTTTCTGAGAGGGTCACTACATATTGAAAATTGTGATTAATTTAATAGTTTACTTTTGTCAATAGGGAAGTTAGTGTTTGGGGAAGATTAGAGATGTCCACTAGTGTGTGGCGCTCTTTACCAGGTCACATTCCTGATCATATCACTGAAAGAGTAGATGTCATTTCTAGGCATCATGACTAGGATTTCATTAAGTTTCTGTGACCTGTAAAATCTGTCCCTCTTTGTATCTCATAACTGCATGTGAACTTCCTTTTTTTCATAAGTCTTTACTTCTTTCAAAAAGGTAAGTAAAATCAGAGACATTTGTAAATCTTCTATTGATGGCTTAATGCTTCTTTCTGCTTTATCGTTGCTGTATTTAAAAATATTATACTAAGTATTGGTACTACTTAATTAAATAAATTAAACTGAAATATCTATACTCAGTGTTATTCGAGTTAACAGTAATATTCTTGTATTTAACTAAGAATTTAATCTTTTCCTAGTTATTGGAATTCCAATACCAAGTTATCAAATCTGAAAACACACATCTAAAAGAGATGGTGGAAAACCAGGAGCAGGAAAGTTGCATGGTAATTTTTTTAAATATATGAAGTATGGAGAACAGTTATGTATACTTACTGTAAATGTAGATTGACACCATGACAGATTTAGAGATTTTTGGCTTGCATAAAGTAAATAAATAAAAATAAGGTGTGCAACATAATCAGAACCAAGTGGTGTTCACACACAGCATGAAGACGGTTATAGCTAGGAGTAATTTCTACCTTAATTGTATTAAACAATAAGCTAAATTTTTCAGTAACTGTCTAGACACTAAACAGTTTCTGGGAGCCTATTTTTTTGTAAGTGATGTCACTTGTTTAGGTTTAGACAGTCACCCTCACAGACACAAAAATATGTCCCTTTTAGTATTTTACACCTTTGTTCATATGTTATTTACCTAACAGTGTAGAAAACTGACACATTTTGCTCCACCCACCTTATTTTCAGAGTTTAGTATTTGTTTCTCTCCAAACAGGAGATGTTTAAAATTTAATTCATAAAAAGTGTGCCATAAGGTTATGTAGAACTTTAGTTTATAAAGATACCTGCTGCCTACCACAAAAACTTCAAAATGCCCCCTGCTTACAGAACATCTGCAGTTACTCTATCATTAAAAAAACCCAAACACTGGAATGTTGTTTGTAAGTACTGAGGTAAATACATTTTTGGGGGATTTGTAGCCTGTTAATTGTCTTACTGTATCTGACAAATGCATGAAAGAATGTCATGTATATCCACACCCTTAAAAAAATAGCATATATATCTGTCAGTGATTTCTTACCTATATATACATATACTCTACTATGGATATATGTGTATTTATATATTATATATTATTGTGGAAACAAAGATGGATGTGTGCATGCATGTCTAGCTCTTCTCTACAGTGATACTCTCCTTGAAGATTGGGAAGAGCTGTCTGACAAGAGTCCTTGGATGCCTCACATGGTTTTTAAATTTTAGCAGTAAAATCCAGTTACTACATATACCAAGGTCAATATACATTTCAGTGGATTTGTGGGCTTAATAATTTGTTCCTGCTTTACTAAAGTATTGTGAGGATCTAAACAATAAAGACTGTGAAAAATTTGATATTCAGATTGTGAAATATTTGATATTCACATTCCAGGAACTGGGGAGATTTTTATGGATGCATTTGTGCTGTATGGTGGAGCACTACACAGACCTCTCAGACTTGTGTCAGCCTAAGTCAGTGTGGTGTAATGCGTCATCAGACAGGGTTACTTTCAGGGTTTAGATTTCAAAAGAAACATAGCTGTGCCAGCTCAGTTTTGGGGTTACATGCCATTGTAACTTAACTGCTGATTCTAGATCTATTACTGTTAGGATGAGTTAGCATTCTCCTTCTTCCTCTGTTGTGCCACTCCTCCCACTTGCAAGACATAGCTGAGCCCCTGCTCCCCCATCATTACAAAAAATATTAATTTTTCTTATACTTTCTAGCATTTCTATTCCAGCTTGGCTCATAAGTTTCCCTTAAAAGTAGCTAAGCAAGGCAAGATTCACAGGAAGAGGTGACATCAAACCAGCTAGTGCAAGGAATAGACAAGGTTTCAGGTGCAGGAGCACAGTTGTGCTAGCAGTATACTAAGAACCAAACCTGTAATACTCATGAGTTACCGGGTTCCAAAGGAATAAGGTAAATCTGGAAATATATGAAAGAACAACGTAATAAAATGCAAGGGGTTTTAGTGTTTTGTGTGCAATCTGATAAACATTTTGAGAATTTCCTGTTGGTGACAGTACACTGTTTTGGCAAATAGATTACACAATCCAGTGCAGTACTCTGCAGAGAGATAGTTCCAAAATAGCTAGCTCAGGTGTGCAGTATAGGCTTCATGGAATAAGTGATGGGAGAAGAGAAGAAAAGAGCAGAGTGTCCTGGCTAGACAACTTCCTAAGCTAATCTCCATTGCCCCTTTTGGTATCCTAGTGGATGGGCTCTAGCCCCTGGTCACAGTGCACACGTGGCTTGCACTTTGAGTATTTTGACTTGTATGCCACATGGGCTGACCCAGTGAGAAGCAGAGTTTAGTAACAGACAAAATGCTCCGTGCTAATGTGGCTTTACTTTACTGCCTCTGAAACTGAAGGTGACTGTCTCAACACAGGTGTTAAATTGTGCCTGTGCACATACCCTCTATCTAGGATAGTAATGAACTTCTATAATTTTTCTTGTTATTTTTGGAGGAATTGTTACTGGAGGGAGCAATACAGTCTGCAGCTATAGCTGTTATGGTTGCTTTTATGTCATCAGTTTTGCAAAGCAAGCGATGAATTTACAACAATAATATTCTGAATGTATGTTTATTGAGAAATTTTAATTTGTTTTATTGTGTTATAGAGGCTGTTTTTCTTTCATTTTCATTTATCTGCAGTGATTTTTTTTTCTGGAGGCAATTATCTTGGTTTGCTCTAAATGCTGGATGATTATATATGGTATCTAGGTCTTTCTTTAGCATGGAACATTGTTTTGTGTTTGCTTGTTAAAAATACACCCATTTATTGTGGAAAAAATAACTACGTAATGATGGTTTTATCTCTTCACAGAATATAGATTTATGTAACAAAGAACATGGAAATTTCACAGCTTCTGTTCACAAAATGAAACATGAGAATTTAAGACTAGAAAATAGTGTTGCTAAACTACAAAATGACAGAGAAATATCAATACTGGGTTGCACAGATACATATGGAGAAACAGAGCACAGCTACCAAATCCATTCAAAGATGCAAGAAAAGGAAGAGAGGTAATAATTAGATTGTACACATATATCAAACTTCCTGTAAGTGTTTTGGAAGCATCTATCTGGGTAAAACTGTTAAGTTTTTTCTGTTTCTGTTCATTCAGAACTCCCACCAACATAAATATCAGAACTAGTTAGTATATTTGTAAGCAGTTCCTACATTTTTCTGGGTGGCTGATGGAATTTGGCAATAAATGAAGTTCAGAAATGTTTTATCCCTATTTTAGTATTTAGCACATGAAACAACTTTAAAAACTTTTCATGTGCTGCTCAAGTTATCCCAAGTTCCAGGTTTTGCAAAACAGGACAGACTGTATTTTTACTGCCAAAGAAAAACAAGACAAGGAAAGGATATAAAAACCAACATGAGAGGTAACTGCTCCATGGGAGGTTATCTTAATAAGCAGTTTGAACTACAACCCCTGCTGAAAAGGTTTGTGTCCCTCCAGTTTAATTTGTTGGAAGTTTCATTAAATGTATTTTAATGCCTTGTCTGGTTTTGGTGTTCTGGGGTGACCTGATTTTTGAAAGAAACATAATTTCAGATGCCCTGAGTAAGTCATTACTACAATAAACTCCTTGTTAGGGAAAAATAATGAGACTTAAGAATACTCAGACTCATAGAAAACATTGTAGTGATGACTTTCTTCTTATTTCCCTGTATTCAGTGAGGCACTGAATTACCTTCATGGCATTGCAGGAAAAAAAAGAAAACAAAGTCCCTGCTAAGCAATATTTCACAGTACAGGAAAGTAAAAATTAATAGGAAGCTAAATGTTTTGATCGCTTGTAATAAAGAACTTACATGATAGCACTAATATAAAATAGTTCTGTGAAGCAAAGTTGAAATAGTTGCAGCCAAAATTGTACATTTTATGATTTCAAACTCCTACATATAGTTTTTTGGCAAAATACAAAATTATTTTCTTTCTGCAAAATAGAGTGCCACCACAATGTATTTTTGCCTAGAAGTTCCTTTTCAAGAAGGTTGTTTAGTGTTGGACATAGTATTCATGTTTATATAAATAAAGAGATATATTATATGTATGTGTATATATGCATATACATAATGTGCATATATATAGACATAAACAGAAGTGGCAGTTATGGCTGTTTTCCTATGAAGTTTCAAATGATGTTGAAGGTTTTGCAGAAACAAATATTTACGAACCAAGATACAGATTATTCTGCATCTGTAAGTCTCATAACTTCACCAAAATTGGTCAGTGCAATTTTTGCTCATGCTTCCACTCTTCTCAAGCGAGAAAAAATAGAATTTTCCCCATTTTCTCAGAATTTACAATTGTACATAAGGGACTGTGAAATTTCATTTATGAGAATGTACATGTATGAGACAATAGAACTATGCCCGTAATTTGCAAAATTTTGATTTCATAGCCGTTGAAGACCAATGTTGAACCAAAACTGGGAGAGTTAACCTTTCCCATAGCAGAAATCTTAGCCACACTACAGAACACAATATAAATTATAATTGATAGGATGAAACAGATATATTGAGTCTAGTTTTCAGGATCTAAACCACACATTTGAATTCCTGAATTAAAAGCTATCTAGCTAAATAAATACATACACAGATTTCCAAAAATCTGCAAATTTCATATGTACTGTATATGCACATCAGCCAGCCAGTCTTTTTAAGATTGGGCCCTCTCTATACTATCAGTTCTCAGTTCCCAGACAGGGGACTACCTCAAAATTTTCCCAGAAAACTAAAATTAAATTTTCAATCATCAAATATATGCAGATAAACCAGGGAATTGATGTTGGTTGAGTTAAAATCTGGGGTATGTTTATTTTATTGTGAGCATAAACCCTGTTATTTCTGGTTTAATTTGCAGTTCTGTTTCCATGGTAATTATGGCACTGGAGAAAGGGCACAAAAACTTTTTTTACATAGTAAAAAAATAGAAAATATGGTGTTTGTGCAAGGGAGGGGTATATATATATATTCTACGGTATTTTTCAGTCATATCTCTCAATCAGTACTGGAATCCTGGGTATGGGCACCATGATGACTTAGAAACGAGACCTCTAAAGAAAACAGGAAATTCCAGGAAGTTATGTTAGCAATTTAAAAAGCAATACGATTTCTTCTTTCTTTCAGTGTACAGTGAATTTCTAAACATTACAAAGTAAGATATGCAGGAATAGCATCTTTTTGCTAAAAAAGGACTGTGCCCACATTCTACCTGTAACCACCTCAATTAAATACTGTTCTCTTATATGATTACTTCTAATTGCCATTTACATAAGCTTTCCCCAACCTCAAGATTTCAATCCTTTATTTAGACCTTGACCACATACAGTTGATTTATATTTTGGCATGGTTGAAGAGGACTTTCTCTGATGAAGCTGATGTGTTTAGTTTGTTTCTTCCAAAATTAAAACATGCATGTGAGTTCCCAAATGAAAAACTATCTATTTACCATAAAAATATGCACAAAATACATACTGGGTCAAGCCAGAATGCACTTTCATCATATGGCAAAAGTGAAGGGTAAAGGCGAGAACTGAATGGCTGCTAAGGTAGCTGGGGATTGCTTAAATGATGTGTGTTGACAGTGGAGTATCTGTGCTAAGGAGGTTTTCACCACCCTTTGGAGGTCACACACTCTTAGTCACACTCATCACTGTATCAGTTATTGCAATAGATAAAGTGGAAGCAGTGAAAACAATCTCTTCATGAAAATACATTTTATCCGTTTTTAAAATGTAGCTAGCAGTTAGATTTGCAAGGTAGAAGCATCGACACAAATTCTTGAAGACATTCTGGTCATTAAAGATCTGTTGTTTTCTTTCTCAAGACTAGTTATGTCAACCAGCACAGGCTGTGCAAGGAATTTGTTTTGAAGTCATTGACTGCATAGGGACCAGGCTGATTTTATATACGAGTCTGGAAAGATGATGCCTGTTTATATAAATTCCCTTTGTCAGGACATAATTCTTTTGCTTCTTGTCCCATATGTCACCATGTCAACAGTGATATTATTTTTGTGCAGTATGTGTACATGTTAAATACCCTATGAAGTAATCCCACTGAAAACATGAATTACTCAACTGCAGTTACAGTGTATTTGCATTGCTAGTCTTAACAAGTGGACAGTTTTTTAAAAATTTGCAGATATTTGCCTACTTGTACATTTGTGTAGTAGATCTCTGGTCTTAGATATTATTTTGCACTGAACTGATAGAAATGTAACCCCCAGCTGTAAACACTGTCCAAAGTAAAGGCATAGTATCCATATCAAAGTACCTCAGGGTAGGTGTCATGATTTTCAAAAATACCAAGCAGCCCCAGCGTGGATTACAGTAGGAAGTGGAGTTCATTTTAAAAATCAGTCCTTTATTTTGGGGATGGGGGAGGGGGGGTGCAAGGGAGCAGTATCTGTTCTGCAAGCTACCATAACTGCAGGCACTCAAGTCTGAAAATTCTGGTCTTAAAGAAGTAAACTATAAGACAGCAGTAATAATTGTTATTAAACACATAGAGAAGCAGTTTTGAAGGGAAAAAAAGAACACGGATCATATAGATTTCATATGTATATAAGTTTAGAGAGAAAATTACCTCCAAAAAGGTCAGAACACAAGATGAAAAAAAAAAATCTGTGATTTTATTATTCATGCCATTTATCTTCAATTGTGGCAGGTTTTCACTGTGCCCTTCATCCAAACAATATCTGGAATGTACTTTAAAATAGGGAGGGGAAAAAAAAGCAGAAAGGTATTTTCCTGTGCCCAAAGAGTAGAGTGTGTTTATGTAAAGAGAACGTGAAGGAAAGGAGAAAACTCTGCCTCCATAAAGGTAAACATTTTTGGTGATTTAGAAAACTGGAAGATGTAGTGAATAGTCTCAGAGAGTTTTATGTTAGAATGTTTAATATTATTATTATAGTAATAACAAAATTATAGTAATATAATTAATATAGTTTTGTGCTTATAATTTTGGTTTCTCATAGCATTCTTAAGATACTTAAGAGTATCTTAATCACTGCTTCTTTTATAATCAGAGAAAAAATACGTTCTTCATTAGTTCTCTGAGTTGTTCTACACAGTCCCTTTATTGAATACTCAGTTTCATGCTTCAGGGCTGTCTGGGTTTAACCTGGTGGGCAGGTAAACACCACACAGTCGCTCACTCACTCCCCCACCACCAGGGAAAGAACTGGGGTAAAATAAAGTAAAATTTGTGTGTTGTAATACATTTTAATAGAACAGAAAAGGAGGAGAAAATAACAATAATAATAATAATAATAATGATATAAGAATTGGAACATACAAAACAAGTGATGCATGGTGCCACTGCTCACCACCCACCAACTGATGCCTAGCCAACCTTCTCCCAGCTTTTAATTGCTGATCATGACATCATATGGTCTGGAATATCTCTGTAGTCAGCTGGGATCAGCTGTCCCGGCTGAGTCCCTTCCCAACTCCTTGCGTACCCCCAGACTCCCTGCTGGTGGAGTGGAGCAAGGAGCAGAAAAGGCCTTGACTCTGTGTGAGCACTGCTCAGCAGTAATGAAAACACTGTTTTCAGCACAAATCCAAAACACAGCCCCATACCAGCTACTGTGAAGAAAATTAACTCTACCCCAGCCAAAACCAGCAAAGGGCTTATATAAGAGCAGGTCCATCAAGGCTACACAGCCACCCTCTCCCAACACCAAATAATTTAAAGTAAGATTAGAAAATGATGTTGTGATCTTTCTGCAGAAAACAGTCTTTTCCCTGCACTTGGCAAGTTCTTGTTTTTATTTAAAAAGAAAAATGTATGCAGCACTGCATACTTTTGAATATTTATAATAATTATATTTTAGTGGCACAGAATATGCTCTTTAAAAGTTTTTATAGCTGCATTTCAAATTACTGAAGTGTTTTAGGATATTTGCAATGATAGAATCTGCTCAAACAGCTATCGTCTTTTAGTGGTTACCTCACAAGATTAAAATTTCATCATAAGCACAGGCCTCAGTACAATGGAAATTTTTACCTCAGTCAGAAATTTATAGTATCTGAAATAATTTTTTTTGCATGTTTTGATATATAATACAAGTAATTATGCCATTGATAATTAGTGCAATTCAGCAGACATTTGATCAAGCTAGACTCAAAATTCTTCTTTGATCAGTACTGTATCAGAATTGTTCAGTTAACTATCAGGAAAGAAAATATTTTGAATGGGAAGAAAATTTCTAAGTTGCTGTTATCTGTAATAATTTTTGCTTTACAGAACTGCAAATGAATACAAATGTTTACATCATATATATACATATGAATACATATATATACATCATATAATACATCAATTCTGATCATTCTAAGTGGGATACAAGAGTTACAGAACATCATAAAATACTTAAAAACTCTTTCTTAAGCTTGAAGATTTCACTTATAGCTACAAAAGCATGTTCTTGTACAATTTTTTAGAAAGTTTATTTTAAAAATCTATTTAATTTTTTTATATTAATCTCCAAAGTATTCTCATTAAATTAGTGGCAAAATTAGCATCATTGCAGTAAAAATGCAGGATCAAATATTCCTGTAGTATTTTTTATTTATTTATTCTAAATTCTAGCTAGTTGTTGAAGGTGACATTAGATCAAAATTTACTAATTATCCAACCACTGATAACAGTTTTTGTCTCTCATCTCACACTTTCATATTTCATTTCCTCTATTTGTTTGGCTAAATTCACTGTAGTTCCTATCATACTATAAGCTAGGACATGGCTGAGGAGTGCTTCCATAGTTTGTTCTACTGAAAAGCTAAAGAAATGATGACCTTTAGCAAAGGATGGGTAACAAACACTTAAGGAGTATTGGCATCTTCAATTCCTGAAGTGAGTTTGTATTTTAGCTCTTGTCCTGACACAGTTACACCAGCCAAGGCAAGGTTCCTCAATTTATGCTCCATTGAAAGGGTTTAAATTAGGGTGATTTAAGTCACAGCTGAAGCAGAGAGAGAATGCACACCCTGGCATTTATGGTAACTTAGGTTGAAAGCTGCTAAATTCCTGCAACTTGGTAATGCCCACAACTTCATGCATGAAGCAGTCTGAACAGCTAAATAACCAAAACTGTGTAAACAAAGAAAACAAAAACCTTTGGCTTTGCTGTGATAGCTTAATAGTTTTAACTGGTTTTCATGCTTTGATTTTTTTTTCTTTTAGATCATTCCAAAATAAAGATGCAGGGGAAATGGAATGTCAACAGACTGATATGCTTACTGCCAGTGGACACCACAGAAAACGTAGTCCTGCGTTATATGGCCAAGGCAATATCACTGGGTCAAAAAGTGACAGCATTTTATCTTCTCATCCACTTCACAGAGGTCATGAAAAGAAAATAGTTTATAAATCTCCATCACCACTAGTGGGGTATCCTTTGGGCTTTGGTGGGCCATATCCTAAAATGGGCAGAACAGGCAGTTTACTGAGCCCTGCTTACAGTGGAGAAGAAATGAAATTATCAGAAGAAATCAAATTATCAGTAAGTAACTACTTAACACATACATTCTCAAAAATCCATCTGTGGACCAAGTGCAGCCTTGGAGGAGCCAAAAATTAGATCACTCTTATTATTATTTATACAGTGCCAGCCCAGCAAAAAATGGAAATATCTTACCCTAACAGAAATGTAGTTTTTCTGGAGATTAAACATCCCCTACTGAGCCATACCTCTGTTCTAGTAAGGATGGTGATAATTACCTGCCATTATGTGACTGTGAGAAAGATTTCTAAATTTTAGCTTATTGGCTTCTATATTGGGGCACTTTGCATCATATTGACTCTGTAAGAGCACTCTGCTCTAAGTGTATTTCCATAATACCTGCAAAGTTACTGCTTTTAAGTGCTGTTAGACAAGTCAAGTTTCTACAGCATCTGACTGATGGATGAAATCAGAGGAATCACAGCAACTATTTTCTATATGCTAGCTATTCTATCTGAAAAGGAACAGAAATTATAACGGCTGTAATCCTTATTTTTCTTAAAATGAAAGAGAAATAGCACAGCATTCATTCTTTTAGTATTCATAGGCTGGAAATGGTCAATCTCCATGATAAGTGGCACAAATTACACTTTGCCTAGGACAACTTAAAAAAACTTTCTGTAATTCTTTGGCTTTAGATCTCTCTTTAAATTTGAGTTTTATCCTCTTCTTTAGTATCTGCTGTTCTTCCTTAGGCCTCCACTACAGGCCACTATTTTTTTGCACTTGAAAACTTAGCACTTGTTTTCCTGACCTCAAACCACGGAACTCTACCATCATTAAGTATTGGAACTAACAGGGTAAGGAATGAACTGTCAACATCCTTCTGCCCAGCTGTGATACATGGATCTTTGTAACCAGGAGATCCTCAGCTGCAGGGCTGTGGCTGAACTTGTAGAAGAGGGAAGACGTCAGCATTTACTAGGGGGAACTTACAGGCAATTTCCTTGCCACTTGTCACCTGAAAGTAGGAGCGAAGAGGCATCATGACACCAAGAGTCATCTTCAAGCAGTCTGTTGTTGTTGTATCCCAGTTCTGCTGTCCACTTTGGAAGCAAACACACATCCTTTTCTATCAGAGACATTGCTGCTGGAAGACTATTTCCACATTCTGGAATCTCACTGTTGATAGGAAGCATCATAATAATGGCCTGCCTAGGAAGCAGGGATTGCAGTGCAGCCCTTCACTGACTGTGGTCTCATCATCTGTGTCCCACTAGCCTGAGAACAGTGAAAACCACATAGTCCTGGGTGTTTGACCACACTTCCAGTTTTATATTCTTATTTTTCACAGGAATTTTAAGTAAATGGCTTTTGGTTTCTCATGCCTTGAGAGTTTTCCTCTTTAAAGTGCTAATCATGAAAAGAGTTGTTTGGACTTTTTCAGAAGAGACTGCTAAACACCAGTTCTTTTCTGTCAGAAGTTTCAGAGACATGAGACCCCTAAGCTTCTGTTTTCAGCTAGCCTGGGAAAAATGTCCATTCTGACACACTTTTGCAGTGAAACTATTTCCCAGCTGGCACTCAGGACAGGGTCAATGCTAAGACAATTGACTAGGTTATAGGGAAAATACTTTCCAGTTGGTGTGTGGGCAAAGTACATAACACAACTATTAAGCAAGGGATATTTCCCGTACAGAGACCAAGTCCAAATCAGTGGCATTGAAGCAAGTACAGGTTCAGACCACTGAAATAAAAGCATCATTCAGGCTGACACTGGATACCACAGCTTTAGTGCTGAAATCATTCAACAGTATGTTTTTCTAGAGTTCTGTGTTCAAATGGAAAGCCGTTGCATCAAGGAGAAAGAGGGAAAAAAAGATACAGTACGTTGCAAACCAGAGTTCTTTGACAGAGTTTTCCAGACTTGTGGGGAAAAGGACACAAGGACAGAACCCAAGTGAAATCTCCAGTATATTCAAAACTTCTGAAAATGTTATAAGGCACTATTTTTCTGAAGAATATTTGTAGGACAAATTGAAAACATCAGATTTCCAGGTGATGTCCTGATACATACCAAAATTAGTCTTGCGGTATTGAGGGAAGAGAAAAAACAGTCCCTTGGGCTTTAGACAAAGACTTACATCTCTCCTCCTGGTAGAGAGCCTTCAGACAAAGATTAGTAAATGTTCCACTGGAACCTCTGCCCTTTCTTAGAGAACATGTGTAGAGGTTACATGTGTAGAGTAATTACTTAGAGGTTACATGTGTAGAGTAATTCTTGCCGTAGAATAAACTAGGAAGCTCAGCTGGGAGTCACTGGAAATAACCCCAAAAATTCTGGTTTCAGGGCTTTCCAAATCTAGGGAAATACTTTTTCTCTGAACAGCACTTTGGGCTGTGCTCTCTTTCTGAAATGAACAGTTTCAGAAAATGATTGCCTCATCTTTTAGTCACAAATACCTTCTCATGTCTCTTTTCAGATGCTGGACAGATGTTTTTTCTTGCTTTCAAGGCTTGGAAATAAAAGAAAGACTTGAGCTGGAGCAATGAAAATTTAAATTAGGCATTAGGAAACTTTCTAGCATGATTATGAGAACTTGCTTAATAAATAGATTACAATGGAAAGTTGTGGAAATTCTACCACTGGACATTATTAGGAATTATTTTGACAGTTGTGATCTTACCGTGAGGCATGCTGTAGTCCATGCCTCTCACTCTTTGGTATTATTTTTACCTAGCTGATTAGGTACTTAGGCCCTCTAAAAGTCTTCCTATGTCACTCAGCAATTTCCTAACCATCTCAAATTTTATTTTCATATATGAGCAGAATCATGTTTAAGACAGGCATCTGTACCTGCTGCTTAAGATGTATCGCAGTGTAGGGTTAGAGGAAATTACTCCCAAAAGCCTCAACATTTAGTCATACTGAGACTAAAATTAGCCAGACCAATTTCTACTTCCAGTATTATAAAATCTTTCCTGGAAAGTAGGAGCATCGAAGCATAAGAAGACTATAACACTGGGGCTTGACCATTCATGATTTGAACACTAAATGCTAAAATATCCCAAGTGTTAAAACTTTCTTGCTGCCCTGCTGAAGGTGCATCCAAGAATGCTGAGACAACTCATGGGGCAAATGAGAGATTAACTCTAGGCAAATTAATTAGGCAGTCTTTGAGAGAGAACGTCCTTTCCTGAAGGGCTTCTCCCTAGCAATTCAGAGTTAATGCATAACCACTTTGGGTAGTTCTTATTTAAAGAGAAGACATATTTCCTATGTAGAAATATGCATCTCTATCAGGTGCACTTCTTCATTTCCAGAAAATAATGAGGCAAAAAGGTGGTTCTCATTACTGGTATACACCAAAGAAATATGAGATCAGCTGCAGCATGGAAATGAAAAAGTAGAGTCCTTGTTGCCTAATTACCCAAACAAGTTAGATGGAAAGCTTACAATGAACCCATTTCTATCCAGATCCTGTTAGGAAACCAAAAAACATAAAAGAAGCGATATCTGAGGAAAAGAAATTCAAAACTAGGGACCATGAATCTCATCTGAGACATGGATTAAAGCAGCTTCTTTATGGTTTTTCTTCCTCAGATGCCAAAAGTAAAGACAATAAAGAATGTAATGAAAGAACAGACCAGAGGCTTGGAAAGCAAAGCGTAGCTGCTAACAAGGAATGTTGCCTTTTAGACCTGTTTAGATAAAACCTTCTCTCAAAGTGCATGAAAAACAGTGCATTAGGGACCCATCTAAAATCATAGTGTGTGATGTCTGACCCTCAGTGGGGAGCCATGACCTGCTTATTCTAAGTGATAAACATTCTTTTCTCAACTGTGAGGGAATTCAGAAATGTCTCATTTGGAGTTTACAGTGTATTTCAAGAAGAAACACATCAAAGTAAATACCAGTTGAAGCAAAGGAAGCAGTTTAGGAAGGTAGCTTGATCATGAGGCCAACCTGTTTCAAATGACAAGTCAGTAACTGCAAGCATTGTTATAACGAATCTCTAAGGATCTCTTGTAACTTGATGCAGTGTTTCCAAAGATTAGCACCTGTGTAAATCTGCTGTCCATATGGAAAAGTCCGACATGACTTTTTTCTCTAGGTGATGACACCTATTAAATTTATATTTCAAATTGAGATTTTCCCAGTTTCTCATGCTTCTCACTGCAAGTATTTGCTCAGTATTGAATCAGTGATTTCAGAGCTGGTATTCAGTAAGCAAAACACATGGTGATTCTTTAAGTAAAGCCTCCAAATCTAATTAATGTCTTCTTCATAATACAAAAGCCTTCTTCAAATAATTTAAAATAGTACTGCCAACTCTATCAGTAAAGTCCTAACGTCAAAAGGAGATGTATTTGTGATCCTCATGAAGGAATACATCTGCATATGGCCATGGCATTCAGAATCTCAGATAAAACTCTTCATGTGAAAACACTGATAATTTATGGGTGGGAAATCATGCATGGGTTTATAAAGAAAACCAGAAGACAGGTGATTTCCCTCCAGTTTCTTAAACTTTAGAAGACTGACATTCTTTCTTATTCCTGCTAGTGCATGGATTGATAGAGGACTGTTGTGGCACACAGTGATCCAATACCTTTGAGTTTCTTACTCGTACATGGCAAATTTTTCTCCCCCATCCTTGTAAAACACTAATTTGGAGGGACTGAGAAAAGGAAGATTCTGCTTTATCTGTGAATTTCATTTTAGGAGCCCTATACATCAGGAAGCCTGTCTCATTCTAGAAGGATGGTATTAAATTCAGAATTCATTTCCAGCTATCGCTTACTTGCTGTACTTCAAAAAGAAAAGGGGTTTCCTATAGGAAATCTCTAAATTTCATCTCAAAGTCTCCTGCAAATAGTTTGAATAGAATGGTGCTTTAAAGCATTTCTCTACCTAGCATTTTTTGGACCTACAAGCTGCTAAAGGGTAGTTTCCAACGAAATTGAAAACAAAACCCAAATCTGTCTCTAGTTGCTGTGGAAATACGGAATATCCCACTTTGATACAATGGAGTCTACAGTAAAAGCTTACAGGTGTAATAAAATTGGCCTTTAGCACAGAACATTTGAATAGTTGAATTCTTATTTGATGTGCTGAGATATTAACTCTCCTTTCTAAATTCTAGAAAAAGCAAAACCCAAAATTCCAGACTAATAACTCAATCAGTAACTAGAACTATTAAGATATGGTTTAATTAAAATTAAAAATGCCAATTATTTTTCTCAATATATGACCATATAAAGATAGAAAATAATCTTTCTTTTAATATTACAGCTACTATACTAAGTTTTCTTCTTAGTCAAATATTAAAAATTCATGTCATAAAATTGCATTTATCTATACAAATAAGCACTGAATGAATTTAAACAAGCATAGTATCTTTAGGCAAAGAAAAACTATTTCATTTTTTTTTTTGATAAAGACATTCTGATGAATGCATCTTAAGTATTAGCAAAAGAATTAACAAAAATTGCTGCTTAAAAATTTAGAACTTGTTCCAGCAGAGACTCACTCAATGTCCTTTGCTTCATACAACTCCGAATCCCATGACAACAATTTTAAGGCTGATTTTTGGTATTGTTTATGTCTAAGGCTACTGAATGCTCATTAAATGGAAAGGAGATTTTTCAGCTGAATTACTTGCAGCGAATAAAATTTAGTACATTCTCCAGAATGTCAGAGCTTGGAGTTAATAGTACTGAAATGAGCATAGGTTTTCTTTCTTTCCTCAGAAAGCATCACATCACAGAAGCAGAGCTAAAATTCCAGGAGGCAAGCAGCAGTATCCAACACTAATTATATTTTGTAATTCCAAAAAATGTTATTGTCCTCTGCATTGGTCTACATTATACAAATAACTAACATGACCTGTAGCTGATCCAAAGAATTTAGAGGTTCTGCAGCAGCACAATTCTGTCTAATGGGATATTTAAATTTTTAATCCTAAATCTACATTCTAATGTTGTGAATATCAGAGATAATCAAACATCACGTTTACTTGATGTCATTTAGGTACATGGATGCCTTTAAAAATTTCTTGGTGAGGTATAAAGCGTTATAGCGTTACTAGCTGCTATAGGTCAAGATGTTTTTCACATCTAGAATTTGATAATGAAAACATGTTGTAGTACTTGCTGGCTTTTAATAACCATGATTTTCTATTCCTTGCTCAGTCTCCCCATGAGATGTCCTTCCTTGCAACAACAGAAAAGTTCCTTCAAGAGGAAGATAAACATGCAAGAGAGTTTGAAGAACGTTTAAATTTGCACCTTGAAGAGCTGCAAAGATATTCTGAAAATATTCTAAAAAAACATTCCAGGATACAGCAAAGCAGACATACTTAAGCCAGTCACACAGTTAAGAAAAGAAAACCAAGTAATGACCCATGAGTTTCTTAAAACTAAAATCTGCAACTAGTTGCTTAATGCATTTAGGCACATTGCCAATACCATTTATTTTTAGTACCATGTTTTCAATAAGATCATCGTTATCCTATGGATTTAAATACGTTGTAACCTGACTATATTACAAAATAAACTCTAAACATATTCTAAAATATACAGGCTGGTTTTGCGCAGTCAAATTGTGTGCAGCTCTGTAAAATAAGTAAGATATTAAAATTCTGTAGTGTACAGAGGGCTAATAAGTGGAATTATTCCCTTGAAATTGGAATCAGCCAAGAGAAATTCTCTAGATTGTAGAGAAGACTAATAAGGGCCTTTAGCCATGTTATAGCTCCTGGCATAAAGAGCTTATCTATGCTCTGGTTATTCTTGGCTGTGGAAGTAGCCCTTGGGACTCTGGAAATGAGAAGTTCGACCTCTTTCTTTCTTACACTCTAAGCCATGTCAGTCCATGAGGGGAACATAAATAGACAAAGTATATATTTTAAAGACACCCATATTGCCCCTTTTACCAGACCTATAGACTTCACCCGGGGCAGAGCCTGATCTTTACATTAACATTTTATAATTTTTAAATCCTCTATTCAAAAGCATCTCTTTGGGTATTGATGTTTTGGCTCCTTGTTTAACTACATTGGAATGGGACAAAAAACTTTAACTTCAGACAACTTGTGATCTGTCTTAGGTAAGGGTTTAAATTCTTTACATTTTTCTACAACATAGGAAGAGTTATATAACCGAGCAGAGCTAATTCAACTCCATGTGCTGAAAAAATGCAAAATGTTGAGATTCCTTTTATTTGCAATTCATACTGAATTCTATTGCTGTGCAAGCGAAACAGAAATTACAGACACTGTTGATGAACCACCAATTTTAGTGAATGAGATACTGAAGAACTGCTTTCTAGCATATACTGTTGCCAACTTCCTGGGAAAATCTGGATAAAAATAATACCAGGCTGTCAAACTGCTCCAGTTTGTGAGTAAAAGAAGCCTCATTAATATTCAAGACCATGGCTAAAATGTAAATTCTTTTTCGATGCGATATTTCCATTAAGACAAAATACACTACATCGCACTTACACAAAATACCAAGATTTTAAATACCAGTTTGGCTCAGCTTGCAGTAAAATGAGTAATGAAGATGAGGACATCAAAGAACCTTTTACAGGAAATTTCAGGAAAATTACTAGACTCAGCTGGAGGAACAAGGACTGAATAAAAAGATGACGGAAGGACATCTGAACAAACTAAATATGTATGCATCCTCAACTTAAGGGGAGATGCATCTGGGAGTTGTAAAAGAACTAGTGAAGAAATTCAGGAACCTCTGAAAACAAAGCTCAATTTTAAGCCAGGCAAGATCTGTAGAAGCGAAAAGACAGTAAAATATTGTCTTTCAGAAGTGCAAGAGAAATAAATTAACCAGTTAGGCATTTAAACACACAAGATAACAGTATGCTCCATGTCTTCGAAGAACTGTATGTGTCTGAGTCCAGTCCAGGCATGAGGATACGTCTCAAGGTCTGTGTGATGATACAGAGTGAGTGAATGAAATTATCAAAAAATGAATAAGATTTTTTTTTTCTAAAGCTTTTTAAGATCTGGCCAAGCTACTAATTTTGGCCAATGAAACAATAAGAGTTAATTTCAGCCTGGTTTTTGTGCAACGCCATATAATAAAGTCCCTGTAAAAAGCACTGAAAACTGCAAAGTACCTGTAGCTTAACAGCCTACTTGTTATTGTTATTGCCTGCTCAGAGTATATTATGCCACAAATGTGCTTAGACAGTATGGATCAAAGTGCCATTTTTTTAACACCTACCTACCAGAAAGGTCACCCTTCTCTTCCCCAGCCAAACAGCATAAGTTGCTCATCTGACAATCCCCAATTTAAATGAGCCCTTTGCTGCCACAGTATGGTTGGAGCCACACCACTGGTTTGAATACCTTATTGTATTAAAAGGTAGAAGGTTGACTGAGCTGATGAGAGGTTTCTGAAAGAAGAGATATGTTCCTGATATTATCATGGCAAAAAAACTTTTTAAAGAATGATGGACAGCAAAAATAATAAAGACTGAGAAATTACACACCTTATAAACAGGGGTTGGGCATGTATGTATATTGTCATAAAAAGGAATAATCAGAAGGGTCCAAGGCTATAAATCCCTGAAAGCACCAATAAAAATTAAAAAAAAAAAAGAATTATTAATCATTAAGTTCATTTGACAGGACAAGGCACAATGTTCAGGAGCTATGGATTGCCCAAAACATATAGACAATTTCTATTCTACTTTGTGAATAGCCAGGCAATGGAAAATTTTTGTAAGCTCTGCTGGACTTTGATGATTTTTCAAAGCTTTACTGAAAAGCATTTTTTTGGCTCCCAGTTGAAAGACTTGTTTTAAATACAAAGAACAATGGTTCAGGCTGCCACCAGCTTTTGCTGAAGGAAAAACCGAGGTCATGTGCACGCAATCGCCAACATGTTTCATCAAGATGTAATTTTGAAATAGTCGGTGGCATAAGAGCTGCCAGAGCATTGCTGTCCAATTCACTCCCCAAAACTTACTCTGAGAGGCCTGAAATGACAGTAACTGAACAGAATCATTTAAAAGGGCCTCACATGAAAGTTGGGTATTTAATGCATTTTCTTCCATGTCTTACTCCCTTATCTATGGGAAATTTAGGAGTGTAAGAATGGGAGTGTGTCAGATGGTGCGTACTCTGAGCCACGCAGAGAGGAATGCAAACTGCAGCAGCAAAACACAAATGCCAAATGAACACAAAAATGAATGAGCACAGGCACAGCTTTCTTGCTTTTCCAATGGGTAGACTTAAACAATGACTTTAGCTTACCCAGTCAAAAGGCTAATAAATCTCTGCTGTGATCAGAGATGCTACAGAAAGTGCCTGACCCCCCCAGTCTCACTGTTCTGGTTTTATTGTACTGGAATGGCTTATAATTCCTGATTTAACGGTGGTACAACAGTGCCTAGAATCAAGCCCACCAGCAATTAATAATTCAAAGCTAGACTACCACCAGCAGTGAGAATGAGATGGAAGCCATCAACAAAGACTGCCTAATGAGGTGAGCCTCAGGTGACTTTACAGCTGTGGTGTATCATGCCAGTCATCAAAGCTTGGATTACACAGCCAGCTCAGGTATGCACTGAACTCCATTCAGTCCTGCTGCTTTCTGCTCCTGGGTCTCCCAGAGACTCAACAGCTAGGAGAAGGCAGAGGGCACTGGCAGAAGGTCCTTAGCCTGTATCATGGGCTTACATTCTTGTCTGGCTTTACAACCTGAGAGCCAATTATAGCATTCATAAGCACATTCCATTCAGAATAGCTATGCACTAAATTGTACACTAACTCCCTTGTGCTAGGGAAGTGTTTTGGTTTTTTTTCTCAGGCACAGCAGTCTGCTGAGACAATGCTAGCCTAAGGATTGTTCAAAGCAGAGTTCGTTGGAATTGGCCAAACCAATGTGGGAACTGTGTGTTGTTTTTTCCTCACTGTAGGGATCAGATCTCAAAGTTCACTGTGTTGGAGTTTCTATTTAATCACACGAATATCCTCAAATCCATAAATAGGCTGCAATTTAATGTAGTGCATATAAATTTCTGCTAGTGGGTTGAGCAGTGCCCCTAGACACTGATATGCTGCACTGTGGTGTCTCTTCCTAAATCAACAGACTGATCAGTTTGTTCTTCTAATCTACTCTTAACCAAACTACCAGGGACCTTGAAACAGATTTATCAAGAAAAAATGCCCAGTTACTTTATGAGAACATGTTTGCATGCAAAGAACAGTCCTGAACCATTCTGTCACCAAATTTCCTGCAACAGATGAAGAATTTACTTGATATTAACCCTTGTAAAATTACACATGGAGCAAGAAATCCTACTGAAGTCCTGGTCCTCAGCATCCCCTGTAAGCACCATAGCAAAACTTTTTTTGGTAGAAGCTTCACCAAATAAAGGTATTGTGCAGAAGACAACATCAACTAAGAGCTCCATCTGTAGTGATTATGAAGATGCTCAGCTGGGGCATGGATGGCAGGGCTTTGCTTTGCTGGTGCCTGGCATGTGAACTGGAACCACCTGCTCTGGTAAGAAAGTTCTCCTGGTAAGAATCATAGAATATCCTGATTTGGAAGGGACCCTTAGGATTCATCAAAGTCCAACTCCTGGCCCTGTGCAGTACACTCCAAGAATCACACCATATGCCTGAAAGTATCATCCAAATGGTTCTTGAACTCTGTCAGGCTGTGACCACTGCCCTAGGGAGTCTGTTCCAGTGCCCAACCACCTTCTGGGTGAAGAACCTTTTCCTAATATCCAACCTAAATCTCCCCTGACACAACTTCAGGCCATTCCCTTGGGTCCTGTCACAGGTCACCACAGAGAAGAGATCAGTGCCTGCCCCTCCTCTTCCCCTCACGAGGAATTTGTAACTGCAATGAGGTCTCCCCTCAGTCTCCTCCAGGCTGAGCAGACCAAGTGATCTCAGCCACTCCTCACATGGCTTTTCCTCAAGGCCCTTCACCAACTTTGTTGCCCTCCTTTGGATGCTAATAGCTTAATATCTTTCCTATATTGTGATGCCCCAAACTGCACACAATATTCAAGTCGAGGCCACACCAGTGCAGAGCAGAGTGGGACAATCCCCTCCCTCAACGAGCTGGCGATGCTTTGCCTTATGCCCCCCAGGACACGGTTGGCCCTCCTGGCTGCCAGAGCACTGCTGACTCATATCCAACTTGCCACTGATCAGGACCCCCAGGTCCCTCTCTGCAGCACTGCTCTCCAGCCTCTCATTCCCCAGTCTATACACGCATCCAGGGTTGCCCTGTCCCATGTGGAGAATCCAGCACATACGTGCCCTTGTTAAACTTCTTAAGATTGGTGATTGCTCATCTCTCTATTTGTCGAGGTCTCCCTGTAGGGCCTCTCTGCCCTCAAAGGAGTCATCAGCTCCTCCCAACTTAGTGTCATAGTCTCTGTAGTGCAGGTCCAAATCAGAGGCAAAGTGCAGGCTCTAGTTCACCTCTTCCAGAGCTACAGGAGTGTTCAAACCTGAACATAAACAGTCTGGAAAAA